GTGAGGCTAAGACGAGAGGACAGTAGGGCCAGGCTTTACGGTGGCAGCTGTGAGTCCAGTGGCAATGACAGCACTGAGAATCCAGTGCCTGTGACAATGCTGTGGGCATCAGTGGTCCTGTAGTAAAGTTTCTGGGACTGTGTCCCTGAAACAGATTGTCTCTGAGGTCAGCTGGATTTTCCTTCTACCTAACTTCTTCTGGTTCCTGTCCAATGCTGAGAGTAGTTCTTCAGCATTCCCAGCATTTCTGTGAACTCCCCAATATCTTTACCATAAAGCCTTTAACAGCAGCCAGATTTGACTTCTATGATTCCAACCAATGCTGTTTCATTGACTACAAAACAATTCCTTGAGGAGTTGACTTGGGAGTGGGACTTGTCTTGAGTTTCTGGTGGTGACACAAAAAAATGTATGCACAATTTCGTGGGTCATTATATAGATGAGCTGGCTTAGCTTGGCAGAAAGTTGAAAGAGAGAAAAAGGAAAAAAATATATCAATGTGAATTGACTGGACTCAGGTCCTTCTGTGAACTACACTATTACAGAAGGGTCATGTGTCTACTGACTTTTGCTGATGCCTGACTGACTACAAATCTTTCAAATTTAAACACTCCTATGCCTCTCTCTTCCTCTTAGGGACATTTTCATACTGTATGCTGTTCACATTTCTTCTCTGTGGGGTGAGAACCTTGTTTTGCCTTGTTCTGTGTGTCTGTATTGGGCATATGTCCTAAGCTTCATGCACATCACTCCCCTGCATTTAGCTCCTGCTCGTTACATACCATGTTTTACAATAAGTTATTCTGTCCCTAGCCTCCAAATATCTCTGAGTCACATGAAAATCATGCTTGTGTCAAAGGAATGCAGAAGGTCCTTGGCAGTGGGTCCTAGGGTAAGATAAGGGCAGACCGCTGCCTCCATACAGGTCACCTCAGTATCTTTTTCACTCTGGAGGTCAGACAACAATTTGGGCAGAAACTATACTCAAGACACTTTGAGCCCCTGAGGCCTTCTCCTTCTGCTGCCTGAGAAGTGTGTGAGTGGAGGGATGCAGGGCAATTTTTTAGGTCTCTCTTAGCTTCCACGTTTTGCAGTTATTATGCATATGCCCCATGCATAACTGTTGACAGGCATGTGTACAGGGGATAATTTCACAGTCTTTCTATGTCTTGTCAGCTTCTAGAATCTCCATTACATTTCTAGCTGTCCGCTTACTGCCCTGAATTGAGTTTCCTGCCTCCAGCAGTAGAACTGTGGATCTTTACTGCCAGCTCCAAACTATGGTCACCACCTCTTCCCACACGTGAGGCTCATAGCTGCTCCTTGGATGAGAACCCCCTCAGGGAGGAATGTCATGTCTTCACCACTATTCTATCATGTATAGGAGCCTGTTTTCAAGAGAAACTCTCCCTCTTTCTCTGTCATTTTCAGTACCTTTAAATGGTTTTTAAAAACAATTTTGTACAGTTTTATGTTTATTCTCTATGAATAGGAAGTATCTAACTTCATGTTGCTTTTATTGGAAGTTGTCTTTTTTTTTTTCATTTTTCTTTTATTATTCATATGTGCATACAAGGCTTGGTTCATTTCTCCCCCCTGCCCCCACTCCCTCCCTTACCACCCGCTCCGCCCCCTCCTGCTCCCCCCCCTCAATACCCAGCAGAAACTATTTTGCCCTTATCTCTAATTTTGTTGTAGAGAGAGTATAAGCAATAATAGGAAGGAACAAGGGGTTTTGCTGGAATAATTTTCCTGGGAAACAAGATAAATGAATTTAAGTTCTCCTGCTGAATATATTTTTTCAGAAAAGAATTAAATTTTTGTTGAGAATGTTACCATTACAGAATTAATTTCTTACCCAGTTACAAGGACTATTTTTAATCTCCCCTTTGTTTTGTGGAATGTTCCAGACTGATATGTCTCTCTCTCCCCGAGGTCTTGAGCAGCTGCAGTATTTTCAAGCACTCATTTATTGTGAAATACGGCTGGCAGGTTAGGTTAATTCCAGTGAGATACAACTGCAGCCATTTTTAATGATGAAAAATTGCACTGTTCTCTTTTAATGCCACTTATAAAAATGGAGCGTCATTTTCTGTGTGCCTAATGTTTCACCCGTCCTTTCCCCCTCTCATTACATATTTCCTAGGTATTTTTGTTTCGGTTTTTCTGTTCTTTTACCCTCATCCTAATAGTACGGTTTTATTTTTCATTTTTTGTTCTAAGCTATCTAACTCTCCTATTTCAACATGAGAGAGTATAAATAAAAAATGAGAACAATGCACTCACTAATTCTATCATTTTCTTAAAAATCCTTACATATTTAGGCTAAGAGACACATTTATTATATGGGGCTTCTAAAAGCTATTGAATAACTCACATTACACTTTCTGCAGTAGATAATTACAAAGATCTCAAGAGAACAAATCACTGAGAAGGAACAAACAAATCCTTAACCCAAATTGAATTTCTCAGTCTTTTAAAACCCAAGGTTCCTTTGAATAAGAAAATTATTCTTGCTGTGCTATTGATGTTATGTGAAACATATAACAAAAACACCAACATTCTTACTTAATTTGAGGACACAGTCTGTCATCAGTTTGATAACTTTGGATCCCAGTGGAGGTGGAGGTTAGAGCCCTACACCCATCAGAACAGTGCTCTACTTCTATTTTAATATGCTACTATACTTAGATGCTTGGAGAAAAAAATTAGCTAAGATGAGTTAATAGCATCAAAATCCCAAATGCCACGTGAATATGTTGGGAGGGGCTGAAAATCCACATCCCTGCCTGTTCACAAGACATGTTGGATTATTATTAACTCTGTAGCTACCTGTTATTGCATCCAAAATGTAAGGAAATGATAGCAGACTAAGACCTTGCCAACTCCTTGTCATGAAGCTTTTGGATGAAAGCAGCGTGGTTTAATAGAAATAAAAACAAAGCAGCAAAGTTTTGAAGTCATCAGAATTAATTTGCATGGTAGTTTTGAGTGGATTAGAAATAACGCTGTTCCTAGTCTTACCTTAAATTGCGGTATTTGTTCTAATGGCATCACTAGCTCCTCCTCACTAGTCTCAAACTTCTCAAACTTTCATCCTAGATCATCAGAAAGTTTTTACCATGGCACAAAAATGGTGGCATATACATATATTCCTTCTCTCCAGTCCAACTTCTTGATACCATCTGCCTCCATTCAGAGCTTACTTTTTCTCTTTTTCTGCATTCTTTCTGTCCTTCTGGGATTTCCTAAAGGAGCCAGGTTCTTGAGCTTTCTGAACCACAGTTCATATTCCTTTGTAATTTCCCACGTTTTGAATAGCAGATATGCAGCACAGAGTTTTAGAAATCTGTGCCCACTCAGATGTAGTGGTTTCCCTGTGTTTGTTTTTAAGCATCTGTGCTATTTAAAAGCCCTTCTTTAGAGAAAGCAAAGGAAATGGCCATTCATGAAGAAACTACGGAGTTTACATCAAGCACAAACCGGATGTGTCATTGCTTAGACAGCTGCAACAACAGCTGTGGTAGGCATTTTGCAAAAAGCCACTAAAATCTGATATTGGATAGCCACAACCGTGGCCATGCGATTTTATAAACAGCAGTCAAACAGCCTTTTGGTTTCAGGGCATAGGCTGAAAATAAGTGACTCTAAGAATTTTCTTGATCTCCACATTTTTATTCCCCTGCTTCTAAATCTGTACACAATTGAAACAATTAACTCATGATTTATTGGTCTTGCCCTTCTCCAAATCAGAAAAATGTAAACCACTCATCTTAAGTTTGACTTGTCTTCGTAGTCATTGATTTTTCAGGCGTTTCCATTTGAAGTTGAGTTTGCATTTTCTTTGAATCTAAGCACTCACTAATTATGAGTAGAAGGATCAGCCATCATTTCATAAATGCCCATCAATCTTTGACCAAGTAATGTTCAGGTCATTTTTAGCCACATGCCTTATTTTGAAGCAAGAATAATTTGTCTGTAATAACAAATTATTCTCTACTGCTTTTTACCCACACAAACTCAATGTTTCCTTCAAATTCAAGGTTAAATTCCTTTCCACTCATAACAATGTCTTCATTATGTATTCTCAGATCAAAATGGATCTTTTCTTTAATTTTTTTGTAGATAGCACTTTTGTTGGTAGGATGTACTGTGGCATTGGATTATGTATTCTGTTCTTTTTGATTTATATAAAGTATACATGATTGTATTTCTGATTAAATTGTTGGTATACCAAAAATTATCTGGGTTTTCTATGTCCACTATCTTTCCAATCAAGTAATCAGTAAGTGTTAGAGGCAGCTTGAGGTGGTGGGAAGACAAAGGGCTTGACATGAAATGTGAATGAATACTGGATGGGCTTGTTACCAACTGCATGATCTTGGTTAAGTTAGAATTCTTTCTGAACACTGACTTACATGTATAAACAAAGAGAAGTTTAGTGCCTGGGACTTCCAGTACAGCAGTGGAATGTACTAAGGCTTGTCAAGGTTGTGGGATTGCTCATAAACATATCTGGACAGAGCCACCCATGACTTAGATGTTTTGGGATTCCAAATTATAACATCTTCCTTTATAACCCAAGAAGAATTAGAGAAGCAAATTTAAGCCCAAGCAAATAGGAATATGAGAGTTCTCTTCTTTGTGCATTGCCTGGCTTTATGGTCATAAATATGAATTGGAAATAGTTACAGGAAGTAACTGGAATTGTTTTTTAATTACCATAGTTGGCAAACAGGGGGAATAATTAGGCCAATATCCAAAACATTAGCCTAAGTGATAGTATGACAGAAAATTCTATGATGATGATCTAAAATTCAGAGCTATACCTTTGCAAGTTTAGGTGATCAATTATGGTGGTTTATATTAGAAAATATTTTAGAAAGGTCCCAAAGAAATTTTTAAAAATGAGACCACTTACTCCTGGAAAAAAGCACATGAAGTATGTGAAATAGAAAACACATTTCAAAATTATATACATGATATTTATTTTACATTTTCATATTTGGTCATTTGACTTGGTACATTTATGAGCTTTCTGAAACCAAGTGACAGACATAGAAGATCAGTTATAATCCAAGCATCTTTAAAGCCTAGATTTAAAAATACAATGAAAGTAGGTTTGCAGAAATCACAATCAATTCCTAATGGCAAATTTTTGGTTTTTCAGGTGTGTCTCTATCATAGTGTTGCCCATGGATATGTTAAATATTGATACTGGACATTATAGTGGCTGATGTTTTAGTATTTTTTGCTATAAGTAGATCAACAAAATCTATTTCAAAAAGTAAACTGCTAAGATTATCAATTTTTTAGAGTAAATGTAAGTACTTCTCATTAAATTATTTTTAACAAAATTTGTTTATCGTACTCAGGAACTTAAGCAATTGTATAAAAGTAAATGTATTTATTCAGCAGTATAACAGAAAAGAGGGGCCAGAGCGGCCTGCAGAGATGCAGAGACTGGGACGGGATGCAATTCAATCATGTGCCTTTGCCTACACTGTCACTCCTCTATCATGTGAAGAACTGTCTCGATGTTTATAAAATAGTTTCTAAAAATATGACGTGGATGCTATAAAAATAAATGTCTTTAAAAAGAAAAATGACGACCACAGGCTTGTACAGGAGCACAGGGTATTTATGGTTTAAGGCTCTTCCTGAGGCAGGAGCTTCCACTTCACGGAAGGATCAAGTTCCTCATCAAAACCATCCAGCTCTTGATCCTTGGAGAGCTCCAGGAAGACCTAAATGAGGGTGAGAGGGGGGAGGGAAAGAGAGAGATGAGAAAGAGTGTGTGGGAGGGAGAGAAGGGCGTGTTACATGACCTCCTGGAACTCCAAGTGAGTGCAGAATATGCGTATTTTATACACTTTGGTTTTGGGGATGGTACAAAATCGGTAGAACTGACCTACCTGCTCCAGGGTGGACTGAGAGAGGCTGTACTCCTCCAGGTCAAAGCTCTGTTTAACTGCGTAAGAATGCATGTGCATTAGGAGTGCATATGGTTTTACATTTAGATGATCTTGTAAATTGACATATAGTATATATCACACATCTTTTAAAATCTTAAATAAGCTAAGGTGATATTTATTCACTCAGTTAAAAGTACATCAATACACTGACTTAGACTTGGGAAAAATTGTTGCGTTAGGTTTCTATGTTGTATGGTTTTTGAAATCTGGATTTAAGGGATAATGTAATGCTGAGAAAGCTTCTTTCTCTGCACACTAGCCAGAGCTTTTGCACATTCAGTGAAGGATGACAGGGAAGGCTCCAGACAGTATTTGAAAAAGGTTGCATGAGATAATTAAGGAGAAGGATGTCTGAGATATCCTGGGGAGGAGATATTGTCATGGTTCCCTTTCTAAAAGCCTCTGTAGCTTCCCTTAATAGGATTGAAAACCCTTCCTATTGACCCAAATAGCAGTTAGAATTTGGATAGGAGCCCAGCAGTCTAGAAATATGCCATCCATAGTCCAAGACTAGCCCTCAGTTTGGTCTCAAATTGCAGAGTGCAGTGAATGACCCTTGGCCCAGAAAGCTGGGCCAGCTCAGAAAGTTGTTCAGCTCAGATAGTGGAAAGAAGACATGTCACTGAAGGGAATTCTAAAAACAGGAGATCTTATTCTCTCCATTAGGATAAGTGACAACGAAGTGAAGATGTCACTGAGCAGTGGGAATGAAAACAGTATAGGGAGGGGCTCTGACTAGAACAGTTCAAAGTAGCAGAGCTAACAGGGTAGAGTGGCAAGGAAAACATGAACCTGTGATGACAAGTATAGTTGTCAGTTTAAAGTACAACAGACTTGGGGACAGTGATGGAGGTGGTAAATCTAGTTAAAATGCATTGTAAACACATATGTAAATATCGCAATGAACCCTTCTGTAAAACTAATATATGCTAATAAAAATTGTAAAAAAAAAAAAAAAAAGAAAGAAACAAGGTTTAAAAAAGTACAACAGACCCAAGAAGATTACTTCAATGGTTACCCAGGGGTCAGTTTCTTAGATTCTGTCTAGACAACACAGAAATATGACAGTCCATAGAAATTTTAATTCTAAATATGTTTGCATTGATGCTCCAAAAAAAGCATTTTCTTTAAATGCACATAAAATTAATTTTTACTCAGATTGTACTAGTAGATATGCAAAAATACATGAAAAACCCCCTACAAAACAAAAAGTAAAAATCACTCCCCTTACCCTCTACCTTATACAACTATAGAATCCCTTCATCTTCTTGATTTTGGTGTTCCTAAAATTCACATTGGGATTTAGACTTTAACGTTTAATGCGTTATGTCATATTTCATTTTTTGTCGCGCAGATAGATTATTTTACAATTTGAAATTATCCTGTTTTCAGGGTCTTTTTTCCAAGTCGTGGTTCTTACCCTTCTCTAGTTTGAAGAAAGCTTGAGCTAGAGGGTGCACATCTTCCATGGGTAACTTATAAACCATCAGAGAAGAGTACCTGAGAAGAGGAGAGCGAGATATCACCTGGGGCAGATGGAAACCACTGCAGACATTGGTTTTGTCTTTTCTTTCTTTATTTTTTATTCACTTATTTTTTTTGGTGCTACTGGGGTTTGAACTAAGGGCCTTGTGCTTGCTAATACAGGCACTCTACTACTTGAGCCACTCTAGCCTCACTGCCCCCGCAATCTTTTTTTCTTTCTCTTAGTTATTTTTCAGGTAGGGTCTCACTTTTTTGTTCAGGGCCAGCCTTTGAATACAGTCCTCCTACCTATATCCTTGCACAAAGCTGGGGATCACAGGCAGATGCCACCATATCTGGCTAATTGGTTGTGATAGGATCTCCCTTGGTTTTTTTTTTTTTTTGCCGGGCTGGCCTGGCCTCGAACTAAAATCTTCCCAATCTCCACCTCCCAAGTAGCTTGGATCTTTTTATTTTATTTGTTTTAATTTGTGGTTAAGATCACAACATCAGATTTACCCTCTTAACAAAAATTTAAGTGCAGAATACAGTATTATTAGCTATGGTTATAAGGTTGTGCAGCAGATCTGTAGAATTTATTCATTTTACTTAACTGAAAATTTATGCCCATGATTAACAACTCATCATTTTCCCTTCTCAAACCCTAGCAAACTCCATTCCACTCTTTGATTCTATGAATTTGGCTATTTTAGATACCTCATAAGAGTTTATCTTTACGTGTCTGGGTTGTTTCATTTATCATAAGGTCCTCAAAGCCCCATATTGTAGAATTTTTTTATTTTCAAAGAAGGAACTGTATTCTACCTTCTGTATATACCACATATGTGCATATGTCAGTGAACACTTAGGTTGTTATTCAGCTATTGTAAATAATGCTGCAATAAACATGGGAGATCTTGATTTCAACACATATCTAGAAGTGGGATTGTTGGAACATTTGGTAGTTTTATTTTTTTACTTTTTTGAGGAATATCCATACTGTATCCCACAGCAGTTATGACATTTTGCATTCCCACCAACAATATACAAGCGTTCCAATTTTTCCACATCCGTGCCAACAGTCATTATCTATTAGCTTTTAGTAATATCCATTCTAACATTGTGAAGTGATATTTCAATGTGGTTTTGATTTGCATTTTCCTAATTACAAGTCACATTGAGCATTTGTTGATATACCCGTTGGCTATTTTTATGCCTTCTTTGGAGAAATGGGTCTCCAAGTCGAGTCCTTTTTAAAACCAGATTATTGTTTTTCTTTTACTACTAGAATATAAATGTTTCTTATATATTTTAGATATTAATCCCTTATCAGATACATAGTTTGCAAGTAGTCCTCCTATTGTGTAGGTTGCCTTTTTATTCTGTTATTTGTTTTGCTGTGTGGAAGTTTTTTTAGGTTGATGTAACCCTACTAGTTTGTTTTCATTGTCTAAGTTTTTGGTGCCATATTCATGAATTCATTTCTCAAGACTGATGTCATGGGGTTTTTCACTGATATTTTCTTCTGGGAGTTTTATAGTTTCAAGTCTTATGTAAGTCTTTATCCACTTCAAGTTGATTTTTTTATGTGTGGTATAAGATGGGGTCCAATTTCATTCTTTTATATATAGATGGATATCCAGTTTTCCCAATACCTTTTGTTGAAGAGACTATCTTTTTCCTACTGTATATTCTAGGCACCCTTGTTGAAGATCAAATGACTGTGTAAGCATGGATTTATTTCTAGGTTCTGTTCTTCTCTTCAGTTGGTCTACATGTTTGTCTGTATGCCAATACCATGCTGTTTTGGTCACCATAGCTTTGTATCTGGGTCTTTATTTTCATAAATAAGAGTCTGTTTGGTGTACGTGAAAAGCCTAGGGTCAATCTACAATCAAAAGTAGACAGATCAAGGTTAGGGGTGTGACTCAAGTGGAAGAGAGCCTGACTAACAAGTGAAAGAGTCTGAGTTCAACCCCAGCACCACAAGAAATAAACTAATAACAAAAAGGGGGACAGTTCATAAGAACCCAGGAGTATAAGATTCAGTTTTGTGTCCATGGCTTCTTGAGTGGAATTCAGTAGGTAGAATTCACATGCTATTTGAAGATTTGCCCAAATTATTTCCAATCTTACTTTCTAAGTTGAACACTTGATCCTTGACTTCATCCTCCATCTAGCTTCTGGAACTATATAGTTTCTTAAGGATTTCCAACTATGGTAGAAATCTAGGTGCATGCTGTATGACATTCATGCCTCTTCTCCCTCATCACACTCAAACTGCCTTAGAGAATAATCCAACTGAGCTTCTGATTAGGCAAAAAGGAATTCATCACCAAATAATGTCAGCAACAGAATTTTTCAATGACTTATTTCTTAGATAAATGTATGTCTTTTTATCATTTAAAAATCATGAAGATTTAGATTTTATTTCATAAGATACCACTTTGTGTATTTCCAGGACAGCTATTCTGATCTATTTTACCATCCTTTATGATACATTTTTATTCAGCCATGTTGAGTTAGAGCATTGCTTTCATCTTTATATTCCTGTGTAGAAATATATTTTCCACCTTGGCTTTATGGCTTATGTCTCTTTATTATCTTTCTCCCTTAACTCCTAAATCATCTCTTTGCTGCAGTAAATTCTATGTGTGAAAAATGACCTTAGTCTTTAATATTTGCTCTATTACTTCGTCAGAACCGTGCTCTTAATCAGAATTTATGTAAAATTTAAAGGATTACTAGATTTGAAACAAATAATTAGATTCATATTCTGATCCCACCACTTGTTAGCTGAGTCATAACCTGACTCTGTCCATTTTCTCTTTATATAGATAATAAAAAAATTCATTTATAAAGGTCCTCATAAGGGCCAGATGCTCAAAAAGCTTTTTGAAGCCATCTCACTTTCCTTTGGAATGACAGCATCTACTTTGAAAAGTATCTGCAAAGATTAAATAAAATGACACAAGACATTGACAATACCCAGGACATAGTAGGACCACAGAACACTGCTGCAGACAACAGAAGTAGTACAGATACTACTGCTGGTATCTTTTCTCTAGTTTATTTCCTGCAATATCCAAGGAATAATCTTTCAGGTTTCCTTCTCAAATGATTACAAATAAATGCAACTGACAATTGGTATGGGAGCAAAACCAGGAGCCATCTTTACCTTTCCTGCCTAGCAGCCTGGGGGAAAAGCCTCAAGATCTCTGTGTGGAGGGGCCCCAGATGTGCAGGGGTCTTCATTTTCATCTCCAGCAAGTAGTCTTTGCCAAATTTGCTTTTCAGGTGTTGGATGGAGCCAATACACCTGGAGGTCAGAGGAGGACATGGTCATATCAGAAAGGAGAGAAAAGTCATATAGGACAATGTTCCAGACCCTTGGTTTGCTGCCAGTATTGTTCTAAGGTCATTACTGTTATGGCCAGGTGCAGCAGTTTTGGCTTTCTGTAGTGATCTCTTCCTGTCCCAGCCATGCATCTCAGAGGTCAAGTATGGTCCTGGATGGGCACTCACCTTAGCTTTCCAGATACCATGATGGCTACCCGGTCACACACGGCCTCAGCCTCTGCCATGTAATGGGTGGTCAGGAGGGCACCCCGTTCAGTGTTTCTGATGATGGCCCGGATTGCCTGCCTACAGTATCAAGAGCATATTTGCAATTTAATCAATCTTTTAATAAACCAGAAAAGGATAGAGAAAAGAATTTTCAATTGACATCTCTGTGACCAATTAGCATAAAAGACTAACCAAGGGAGTACTCATAAGAGGGAGGGAGGATAAAGAGGGGCAAGCCAGGCATGAGATTTAAGTGGAAGCAAGTGTTGAAGAGGGTGTGACAGAATACAGAATTTATTACAAGGTTGTGGTGAAAGAGACATGCTGAGAAAAAAGAGAATTGTGTATGGAAAGACTGCAAACAGGAATGGAATGCCGACAATTCAACAATAGTGTTGCCACAACTGAGTGGGAGAAAATCAATGAAGAAGAATGCACACAGTTTTACAGCTAATGAGAGCTACTGTTCTTGTGGCAAGTGCTGAATGCCATGTGACTGTGTGTTACAGAATTCTAGTTCCGTCAGGCCCGAACAATGCCCGCTATTCCTTCAATGAGACATGGTTGTGAAATATTACCAGGGAAAGTGTTTTGACTTTTTTGCAAGTATTGGTTTTACTAATTACCCTATAAACATGTAGTTCTTTTCCACTTTGAGAAAGGATTTGAAGGATCGTGTTTTCTAAGTGAGTGAAACAGTTCTCAAACTCCCTGCCAGATGCCTGCACTGACCCCTATTGCAGTAAAAGCTCCTCACCACGTTTGCTGCTGTCCCTCAGGGTCCATCCCAGTGGAAGGCTCATCCAGAAGCACCACTGACGGGTTCCCCAGGATGCTCAGCATGAAGCACAGCTGGAATGAGAGGGACAGACTGTGGGGCACCGGTCTGAGGGGTGCACAGAGCCACATGGAGCCCTGGCCGTACCTTTCTCTTTACTCCCTCAGACAGGGTCTTCACGGGGGCCTTCAGCTGGTCCTGCAGCTTGAACACGTCCACCAGCCTGGAGGAAACACAGCCCAGGGTCAGAGTCTGCCCAACAATGAAGAGAGCTGATGGAAGGATGAACAAGCGAGAGCAAGGATGGAAAGCAGGGCCTAGTTCTGTGAAGAAGGGTGGTGGTGAGGGGGAGGTGATATTACTGCTGGTTTAAACCCCTCCAAAAACTGCTGTCACCTTTTCAAAGACTGTAGACACATGTCATGGTATCCAGATCGTTTTCCTATAACAGTTTAATTTATGCATTTTCAAAACATTTTACCAATGAATACTATTTTCTTTCCAAGTTTAATATGGGGAAATATTTTAACTCTTTGAAACCTGGAGGACCATTTTCTAGTTGCAAATCTGCCCAGTGTGACCTGGGCCATCATTTAGAGCCTCTACCCTGAGTTTCCTGTGAATGTTGTCATCCCCAGCCTCCTCCTCGCCCCCTGGGTATAGAACAGAACAGGTGGGGCTCCCTGTGTACCTTGCAATGGTGACTTTGGCATCGCCTTTTCTCAGCCCCTTCACCGCGGCAAACACTTCCAGGTGTTCCCTCACTGTCAGGTTGGGCCACAGCACATTCTCCTGAGGACAGTAGCCCAGGAACCCCAGGGTATCCCCTTCACTGCTTCCTTTCAGTAGCACCTACGGATAAAAGTTCACTGTCAGAGCCCACATCCTACACTGCTTCTCAGAGTACCCCCATAATAGCCATCACTTATAAACCTACACAAACTAGAGGAACTTTCACTCCTAACTGAATTTAATAATCTGTAGTTATTTTTCACTGGAGAAAGGTTGTCAGGAGTAAATGCAAGCAAACAAATGTGTGTGCAGCCAGCAACTAGTCTAAGCTAAACATCAAAGATCTCACAAATGTGGTGCCCTGCCATCTTGGTCCCTAGTTCATGTCCAATATTTTCATCACTGTTAGAATGAAGCAAATCAATTTAATAATGACCAAATGTTTTTTTGAGTATGTCCTATGTGACAAATGCTGTTCTGCCTGCTGGTAGAATGGGGAGTGACATATCTAGTGCCCTGTGATTTAGGTTTTCATTCTACTGAGTGAACCAGGCAACAAGCAATCAGTAAATAGAATAAGGACAGGTCTGAGGTGGGCTTGTAGACATCAAGATGCAGAGAGCCTGTCTGCAGAGGCACCACTCAGCAGAAGGAGAAAAGATGCCAGTCATGGTGGAGCAAAGAGCAAGAACAAAGCCCTGCAGAGAGATGAGGCTTCATGTGTGCTTGACCTGAGGCAAGGGCAGGAGGCCAGGAGCAGAGTGAGCAAGGGCAGAGGGGAGAGATACAACAGAAGGGCAGGAAAGTCCGCTCCTAAAGCCACCTGCAAGGTGATCTGATAGTCAAAGAAAAGAGAGGTCACTGAAAGTGTTTAATCAGGAGAATAATATGGTGGGAAAAACATCACCAACAGTGAGTCCTTTTCTCCCATGTTAACAAGAAATAAAATAGTGACTTAGTGTCCAGGTGGTGGCTGAGTTAGAGGGCAACTGCAACTGAAGTAAGGAATCTGGTTGGTGGCTCACCAACATTTACTGAGGAGTCCTTGCCATGAGCTGTGCTCTCACCTAGGCTTCAGGGGTGTGTGAAAATGTGTTTTTATCTTTTCAAAATAGTTTTACTTAAGATTAAAATATTATATACAAGGAAGACAATGTTCATTGAAAGTGCACATCTATGTGTCTTACTGACCTATAAATAGGATTTTTGTGGAGTCTGATAATGTTTTCTGGTATAATACAGAACATTCAATCTTAACATCTTTGAAGATATGAATAATTACATCTTGGGGCTTAATTTTTGTGTGCATTATGTGACAAAGTTAGAATTTATTCTTCTGTGTGTTGCATTCATCACTCCCATCATGTAATAACTGAATGCCATCTTGCTTTATAAAGTTGTAATATCTTATAAATTTATTTTGAGTATCACTAGATAACATTGTTTTATGTCATTCACCTACCTGGCCAGCAGTTGATTTCACATCTCCAGTTATCACCTTAATGGATGTACTTTTACCAGCTCCATTGTGTCCTAATAACCCTAAAATCTCACCTGGAAAAAATGGTTACACTTATATTAATTAATTTGAATTTTAGAATTAAGAATAAAACAGTCTTACGTAACACAAGGTGACAAGTGTTGTAATATGTGTTTTAATGGAACATATTTAATTGTCACAACTTTCCTGAGAAATTATCACAATCTCCTTTAGGTATTTGGGGACAAAAGCTCTCCAGCATGAGATTAATTTCCCAAGGTCTCATTGATGGAAAGTGGTAAAGTCACTCTTGGAAGCCAGGAATGTCAGATCATTTTTCCTGCGATCCTAGTCACTATGAAATAATGACACAAACTGAGATCATCAAATACTTGCAGGTCAAGCCTTCAGAATGGGCTGCTACATCCCCAATAGGTTCTCATGTGCAAAAATAATAAACATTGGGAAATCAATTGTGTTCATTTAAAAGAAGTATTATGGCATCAGTGGTTTCTTTTGATAGTTTATGATTTCCATGTACATGTGACTGTGTCCCTATTTGTGGCATGGCTAAATTAATTTAACTTAGAAATGAGACATGTAAAAGTTGCTGTGAGGTCACCCTGCTGTGGGGTCTGGATGTGAGGCAAGAGGTGGCGTGTGAAGGACTCTCTTGAGCTCAGAAGCTCCAAGTGGACTCTGAGCAAGGAGGCAAAGCCTTGTGTCTGACCTTTCCTAACACAGAATGAGACGTTTCTGGTGGCTATCTTATTCTTTCTCTTGGAGAAACAATGCTTCTTCTTCCCTGCATACTCCTTGCGTAGACAGCTGGCAACAATGACTGGCTTCTGTAAATGACAAGTAAAACATGTCAGGCCTTAATTCTATTCATTAACTTCTCAAAATCAGAATTAGACTGAGAGACTGACCTCTTTAACTGACAAGCATTTGTATTATTTGATAAAGTAACCACTCTGTACGCTTTACAGCATCAAAATTTGTGGAATTCAAAGGTCTCTCCCCATTGGAGTTACTTTGCTACTCAAGCCAGACAACAAAGAAGTCCCTCTACTAGACAGCATGTTTACTGGTCATTCTCTTATCTAGTGCTGGTTTTTGTCACTCTTTTCTACCATGGGAGCAACCCAGGAGCATATTATTTTATACAGGCTGACTCAGCGAAGGAGCAAAGAGACTTGGAAAAGCAGTAGACCATTTCCAATGGACAAAACAGTGTGCTGTGGATCAGACTTCACTCTGAATTTTGGACTGTGTACTTTCTCCAAAAAGCAGTGACCCCTGTCACTTTGCTCAGTTTCTGGAAGTCTTTCCTGGCTCTTATAATTTCAACTGCACTCTACTTTTTATTTATTCTAAGAAATACAAAGATAATTAACTTGAATTTTTAATCTGCTCACTTAAACTACCTTCTAAGATGGCAATCCTCCTTTGTAATGATTAAAGAATCTCAAAATCATTTGAGAATTAGACTGAGAGACTGAACTCTCTAACTGACAAGCATTTGTATTATTTGATAAAATAGCCACTTGGTATGATTTTACCTCATCAAAATTTGTGGAATTCAAGGCATCTGACGTTCTGTTTCTTTCCATCTGAACATCTTCATCTTCCCCTTCTGGCTCTTCTGGATTTTGACATACATCACTGCTTCTTGGAGAAATTCTATAGAGTCAAAATCATCCATTAGTAGTTTATTGTAGCTTTTGTCCTTCTATTCAGAATGTTGCATTCTGTAAATTGCACTCGTGAGTAGGTCACACAATTAATACAGCATCAGAGTCTCCTGTCAGGGCAGTGAGCTCTTATCCCTTTGAAATCTGCTTGCTTCTGTCAAACAACACCATATTCCTTGTTCGCCATTACCTCTTATATATCTTCCATTCTTCTTACTTGTAGAAATATTATTTCTTTTCAATGTTGATGGGTAACTTGGAACCTGCTATCTATCAAAGGATTTTTATATCGTTACTCAAGAAAGTGATTTTTCTGGGAACCTTAGCTTTGAGATCAACATGCTGGCATTATTGTATTCTATGGAGAATATGGGCCAGAATATTTAAAATCAGCACATATTTGAATCCAACACATAAGATGCTTCATCTACCAGTAAGCCCAACTATTTCTTTGGAACCAGTGTCAGAGTCACTCTTTGCTTATCCCACATCTGGTTCATCATGCCCAGAATACATTTCATTCTAGTTTCTCTTCCCTTGACTTCCTCCCCTACAGTGATCTGAGAAGATTTCTTACCAATCTGCTTCCATTTTGGTAGTCTCCCTTCCCACTCTTTGTAATAACAAAAGATGAAACCAATGAGAAACTCGAGAAATTCCATGACTGTGGCTCCCTCCTTGAATGGTTCAAACAAGTCTCTATTTTTAAAAAATTATTTTATTATTGTAGTGTCTGTAACTAACTGAATCTGTGATCCACCACCTGGGATTCTTTCAGCTCCAGAAAAAGGGCACAATTATTGATGTTGCTGGCCCATTAGCATCAATGTATTCTTTCTTCCTGAATGGACAGCTTTCTTTCAACTATCAATCTTTTCAAACTGGCTGCTCTTTAAATGGAGCTAGTCTGTATAGTGTCACATAGAGACCTTTTATTCAGTATTTCAGGTCTGTTTCTGCCAGTAGATCACGAACTTCTTTGGCTTAGGTATCTGAATCTCTGTTATTTGTATTAGCACACTGTTCCTGACCCAGTCTATCCTAGCACATGGCATCTCTTTGTTAATGGATTGGTTTATGCCTGAAAGAAATATTTTAAAATATCGACCAATGAAATAAAAGAATTACAACTAGATTTCTTCCAACCTGAAAAAGGGATCCTTTCTCATTGGTTTCTTTCCACACTTCCATTCCAGACATCGAAGAATAAAAAGAAAAATGAAAAAATGGAGGACAGGCTGGGAATTGAGAGAGAAACATAAAAAGGTCAGAGATGAGCTAGGAATGATTGAATAATTTACTAAAATACACTCAGTGAAATCACAAATTTCCAAAGCATTTGGTAAAATTGGAAACTGTCAAATTCATTTTCAATCATGAGACAACTATAATTATGGGGTGCCATTAATTTATATCATTTTTTTTCTCACAGTTACATAGTGTTCTTAAAATTTGGAAAGTACATGATCTTGTCAGTTGATCTGTATAAAAATAATTGTCTCACATCTTACAAACATTATACTGCCGTGGGCTACAGACAACTATACCTTCATAAAAATATAAAACTTCTCAGGGATTACAGTTGCTGAGTGCAGTAAAAAACATAGTAATTTAAAGGGAAAAATGTATTCTTACAATCAGCAATACCAAAAATGGGTCTGTACTTGTTGACTCGCCATTAAAAGCAGAAAGCATGAAAAACTGCAAAAGGAAAGACAATAGTTTAGTAGGAAGTTTTTGGTTTCTTAAATTTTATTCAAATAAATAAGAATTGGCCCCAAACAGCCCTGATAATATTTCCCCTGACTGCACCATGAGTTACAGATAAGTGTCTGTTCCAAAATGCCTATTGAGGGGGTGGCTTCTGTTCTCCTGTGGTCTGTGAGCTTTCATTTGAAGCAACAGGACCTATCAATCATTGATCATCTGGTGAGAGACAATCTGGTGGACATTAGCTAGTGTACCCAAACAATGAGAGTGACAGCATTTATTCTTAACCCACAGAGGTTCGAGCACCTCCCTATGCCCTTCGCTCCTCTTCATGGTTGTCCTTCCTTTCCTTCCCCTTTCCTCCAGATATCTCCCTTGGATACCTTTCTTCCTTTTATAGATGTATAGACCAGGTAACCAGAAAAGAGGGGTTTTATTCATATTTGATGCTTCTCTAAAACCCTGAAATCTCAAGGATGAAGGGCATTTCATTGACCTCTTTCTTAACTTAAATCTAGGGGCATGTGAGATCCAGAATGACCTCAAAGGCTGCTCTATTTTCCACTACCCATCCCTCTTCCTCTCCATGTGTTAACAGGGGCCAGCTTTTAATTATAAGTCATTTGGAGCACAGTTAGAAAATCAGTTAGAATCCACGAGGTAGAAACCTTCAAACTTCATGGACATTCAGTGTGTTGTACAGCCCCAACATGGGGTTGAGCTTTCACAATTGGTCATGAGTTCCAGGATGCAGGACAGACAGTTGCATTACTTACACGAAGAGATAAGAACAAACAACCAATCAATGTGGCTTGTGGTATTAAAAAGATCATGCAGTATAGTGCAGCATTTTCATAGGTATACAACACAATTCCAGCCACAGAGAACATGGTGATCTAAAGAAAATACAAATGTGCATGTTAATTGCTGGGAATTTCAGTACATCTTCCAAATTGAGATAGCATATCTTGAAGATAATGTATTTCAAGATTTCAACTCCAAATTCACAATCCAAACTGAAATCAATATATCTCCACTAACATTTTTGTTTTGGCAACTTAGCCAAATTCCTTAGGCCTAGACAATCACAAACGAGACATCACTAGATAAATATAGGATATAATATATACAAAATATTTTAATTATAGAAAAGGTAAAAGTAGCTGGCATGTATTGCTTCTTGGAGGTAAAATCCAGAATAGTAGATAAGAAAATCCACAGAGAAAACGGAAGTTGGTATCTAACAGGAAAAAAGTTCCATCATCAAAAACAATGAAAGAAGACTTTTGTTAACCATACCAATGGATAAAAATCAACGTATAACAACCCAGAGGAGCATAAGCAGAAATACTGAAATACAAACTTCAGGAACAAGAGAAAGTTATAGGTACACCTGAAGCCCTCAGACTTTCTCTTCTCAAATTTTGCAATGACTTTCTAAAAGGCTTCGGGCTTCTAGTTTCTGTGCCTTACAAACCATCATTTTTATGACTATCAGAGTATTCTTCCCAAAAGTTGACCTCTCATTGTATTTATCTTCTGCACTGTAAGTTTCCATAGCTTCCCACAGCCTGTAGAATAAATTCCTGAGTACATTATTTAAGGACAGCCATGGTGACAATTATTATTTCCACTGTGAGGAGGACTCCCACACTTCACTTATCCATGTCTTTATCAGATATATTACCAGTTCCTGATGTAAGCCTGGACCTCTCTGTTCTTCTGTCTCTACCTCTCTGTTCATCCATTATCTTTTAGACTGCACCACCATGCTTCTGTGTATGTTGAAATCTTACTCTTCTTCAGGTTTTACTCTTTAAAGGAAATCTCTCCTTTCATTTCCATAGATAATTCTCTTCTCTGATTGTCAGACTTCCTTATTATTCCACTGTACAGTGGACTTTTAAGATGGAAAAGAGCCCTGCAGATAATCTTTTCCTTATCATAATGATTTTAATAAATGGTTGTTTAATATCTCTTTATCCCTTGGTCATGTTTTTGGGGTGAAACTATTTAATATTTTTCCTCTTTGTGACACACTGTGGGAGTCAATAAATGCTTATGAATTAATAAGTAACTTTTTGACATCCTGAAATCACAGGAAAAATGTTCTTAAATTAAATTCTTTTACAATTTATGTAAAAGAAGTGTGGCTTTTGGGAATTAATCCAAATAAAACTTTGGGTTTTGGAGAAGTAGATTCTAGTTTTAGCTGTGCTAGTAATAAGATGTGTAATTGTGAAAGTTTTTAGAGGTCTTTGGATTTATTTCTTTTCCAGAAAAAAGAAGATATAGATGGCCTCCAGACTTCCTTCTAGTTCAGGAGTTCTAGAAACAATTTGATTGACTTTAAAGAAAAAATAATGGAAATGGGGTGAGAAAAAGTACAGATGTTGAAAAAAATCTATACATTAAGTGAATGTAAAATATTTTAGACTGCAATATTAGCTTGTTATCCCATGAAGATCAACAAATGAAATATTAACTCAGAATTGTATATTAAATTTACAAAATAAACATCCACAGTAAACATACTTACAACAAAGAAGCAAAATGAACAAATGCCACTATTTTTTCTCCTCTTGCGAAAAATGAATGAAATCACGTATGTTAAGAAGATAAGAGACATGGCATAACCAATAGCACATGGGATCTGAAATGAACAGAAATGTTTAGTTTAGGTAAAGACAAATACAATACAGGAAAGCATGTAGGCTACAAAGCATTGTTACATCACAGGATTTTCAAAATATTTAATATATGACAACGTATTGTCAATGAAAATAATTTGAATCTTCAAATTTTCCAGTTAAATCATATATATATATGGATATTGCCACTTACTTGAATCGAATGACTTATGATTGTAAATAGAGTCTGTTGAAAACTTAAGATGTAGTCCAGTAAGTACATAAAAATGAAGACCAAACAGTAGAGGGGGATATCCACCAGCGCCTGCCCGAACCAGTAAGCAGAAGGGAAGAGGCCTGAGATCCGCAGCTGTGACCAAGTTTTGCTCTGTTCAGGAGATGACAAAGACACACAGCATAGATTAAGTTAGCAAATACTCAGAAACAAGTTGGATTATGGCTACAAATGCTAGGCACACTAAAAGGAACTGATTATTTATGGATATAAATGTCAGTCTACTGCTTTAGTGAAGGACAATAACGACCATCATCTTCCTAGAGGAGTACGTGAAGGAAGAAACCCAGAATAATCAAAGTTCAAACACTGAAGTAAATGAACCAGTGACCTAATGATTTGCCGGGTTGATGGGGTGGTTTGGAGGGACAGTTTATTCATATAAGCAAGGAAGTTCCCATAATAGTCATCTTTGCCTCTGTCTCCTTCTCTGTATATATATCATATCTTAGATCTAAGATTTTCTATCATATATATGTAGATAGATATGTAATTATATATACACAAAAAAATGTCACTACAAATCCTATATACAAGGCATACATAATTATATATAGCGAACATATACTATATAGTATGTTGTGACATATTTGATTAAGCGTATCATTAAATTTTTATATATGATTTTATATTTTGCACAGTAATTTAGAATTGTTACATACAGTGGATACTGTAGTATTCATACAACACGTTGTATGATACATATAGTTAACATATCATGTTAATATGATCACATTAGGAGAAATGTACCACAGAAGGAAAGTGCTCATAGATCCTATGGGAGAAGTTTTAAAGTGTGGGCTGTATTAATTCCAGAATTACTGACAGATAGCTCATACCAGCAAATGTCATTTCTCAAGATTCCTGCAGGTCCTACACCAGAAAGAGGTATTAAATGGGTACTGTTTTCTTTGCCTAGTCAAAGGGAGGGAGTGAAACATGAAGGTGAAACTGAGTAAAATGGAGCACTAAGGCAATGCTATTGATACTTGAAAAGTAAAGCTAATGAAAGTTGACCAGGGCTGACTAATCATATAAAGTCACCACCCTATGACTGCTAAGAGCTTACATTTCCAAAATACTATTTCCTCTCATTTCAGCAATCTTTTTAAAAATAACTTTTTTGAAGTATGGTTTCAAATAAAATACATAAAATTAAATTTTGTAACCATATTAAATAGATAGTTCCAAGACACAGAACTTACTAGTCATTCCTTCCTTTATATTGCTGATCAGAACTCCATGGCTGTATCAGAATTTCCTTATCATTTAGGTCAGTTCAAGTAACAGTCTGAACTATGATGACTAAAGCTGCTAAGAACATTAGTAGTTCAAGACTTCATGTGGAAAGTATTTTCTTTTTCTTGGGTAGGTAATCAGGAGAATTGCTGGGCCAGAATTGTAAGTCTATTTTAACTTTGGGAGAAACAGCAAAGTTGTTTTGCAAAGTGATCATGCAATGTGAGTTATTCCTAGTGGTAAATGGGAGTTCCAGTTTTTGCAATATTCTCCCAAACACTTGATAACATGGTCATTTTCGCAATGTTTGTGTAATGTAGAAGTATGGGTTATATTCCTGATTACCTATGATACTAGCCATCATTTCACAGGAGTATTTTCCATATGTTTATCTTTGATGACATATCTGTTTGTTTTGTCCATTTAAAAATTAGGTGATCTTCTATTACTGAGGTATGCATTCCTTACATATTTTTGATCCAATCTTTTGTCATATACATGCTCATTGTGAATATTTTTCTACCAGTCTGTAGCTTGCCTTTTCATTTTCTTACTGGTGTTTTACAAAGAAAAAATTTTAACCTTGATAAAGTTCAAGTTATCTTTTTTAAAATAGTATATGACTCCTCTGCCTCATCTCAGACATACCTACCTACCACAACATCTGTGACTCATGTCAAACTAACTTTGTGCATGGTATGAGGACTTAAGAACATTCTTTTTTTCATTTTGATATCAAGTTGTGGCAGCCCAATTTGCTAAAAAGTCTGACCCTGGTTGAATGTCTTGACTGTTTTATTGAAAACCATATATGTGTGTGTGTGTGTGTATGTGTATATACATATATGTTTACTTTTGAGAAGTCAATTCCATTTCATTTATCCATGACTATCCTTAATTAACACACTACATTGGTAATTTTTGCAACTTTGTTTTGAGCCTGAAGTCAGAAGAATAAGTCGTCCAACTTTGTTTCTGTTTTTCAAAGTTATTTTGTTTATTCTAGTTCTATTCTAACTTCTTTGCATATTCACAAAAATTTTGCACTAATACTCTACTGTTCTATTCATATATACTACATCTATTCATATCTCTGTATCTGTCTGCTATTTGTTCTCTACTATCTATTTATGTCCATTCATAAAAAAGGTTCCTAGTATTTTTCTAACTTAAAATTTATACTTCCATTGGCTGCCCAATTAATTATGTATAAATATCTTCATGGGAAATTCTATAATTATATTACCTTTGGCTTTTAATTATACAAAGTAATTCAGTTACTCATTGTTACCTTATAGTCATCAATGCTGCTCATGGCAATACAAGGAGGACAACTAGATAATAAAATCAACCAGAATATGGATTGTTCCAGGTTTTCAAATAGATTATCGTGCATGTTCTGAAAAAGCAAAGAATATAATGAGCTGAATGAACAAATTCTAAGCCAATTTTCCAGACGGAATATGTAAAATATGCTATCAATTGTCTATAGTCTTGTCTTGGGCCCCTCTTGAAATCCCCAATCTTTTTCCCTATTCTTCCAGCTTTGGAGATTCACTTTTGACCTTTTGGCTTTATGCTCAAATTTAACAGTAAGAAAATTGATTCAAAGGACATGCATAAATTGATAACATCATCCAGTTGGAAAGTAATAAACAGCAAGATTTTTAAAAAATCGTCTTACCTCATCATTCTAATATTTATTGTGATGCTAAGTAATAAATAATTCACAGTTGACACCTTCAGTTTCCTAACTAACCTTTAATTATTTCAAATGTGATAACTTGACTCAAAATCATATCACATGATAGGGAAATCATGAGACCACATGAATATTGACTGAGAATTCAAAAGTAGAGATGAAATACTAGGCAAGAGAGAGAGGAAACACCAGGGAAAACCTTTTTCCTTACAATTATTTTGATGATTCATATAGTTGTTCATTAAACACATTATTGAAGAAATTTATAACCAGACCTGGTTGTCTTCAGACTGGTCATCAGAGACACTTGCTAATCACAGACTGGAGAGGGTGAAGGTCATTGTCAGAATGACCTGGATTGGGTAGGTTGAGTCCTCAGTGACAGACTGATTGACTTTGGGAAGAATAGATACAAGGTCTGACCCTCCGGAAAGCTCTGACTTTTGTGGCAGTGAGAAGGTAGATTTGAACAATGAATAAAGTGAGTTGCTGAAGATATTGGTTAATGCTAATATGTTGGGTACATACATACAAGAGAAGCTGTTACTTCACACTCTTAACCACAAAGTTGAAAAGGTCTACACAATCATAAAGGGTTAATTAAATGAACTATAGTGTATATTCTAAAATTAATTAATACTTGATGATTGATTAAAACATTTTGCTTTCAGTTTTAAATTGCTAAAACTTTTGGAACTTATGAACCTCTCATCTCAGCCTACAGAATGCTGGGATTATAGGTATGCACCACCATGCCCAGTTAAAATTATTAAGTTTCTTATACACTCTTAATGAAAGACATTTTCATTTCCTGAGTACAAAGTGGGATATAGCATGAAAAGCTAACTGAGCATATTTTCATTGCTAGAGCATATGAAAATAATAGCACACGCTCCATTTTATTATTATTTAAGTAATACTTATTATCATTTGGTGAGTGAATGACTATTGCCCATGTACATTATCATAAAACCCTGGAATTGAGTGTATATGGACAATTTGATGACTGTAACATTCACTTATGTGTTTAACAAGTCAGTTATTTGATGTTTATTATATTCTAGATCTATTCCTAGGTTGAAGATATTTACATAAATGTGTTAAAAATGTTCCTATATATGTAATAGGGAGAAATAGATTTACATAATAAAGGAACCATTACAAGTTGTGACAGTACTCTGGTTTCCTTAAAGGGCTGTATGCATTCCAACGTTCTGGGCCTTTGTTTAGAAACAGGATTTTTTTTTGTTATTCTATATTTGGAAGAGCTGACTTGGTACATCTACTGTAATCCAAAAGAATTATATATTTTCTTTACTAGAAACTGGAATAATTCTAATTTAGACAGTCTTGCAAATCTAGCCTGTCCTTTGTCCTGAATTTTTCTTGTAGCACTTCTAAAAATAGTAATAGTTTTTCCTCTCTTCTCATCCCCTCTCCTCCCATCCCTTTCCTTCCCTCCTCCTTCCCTCCTTTCCTTCCCATTGTTCATGACTTTTGTTCTAGTCACAATGCTACATAGGTTCTCTTTTGTTGTCTCATATTCTCTTTGGAAAATGTTTTATTCAATCCATTTTGCATTTTCATACAACCAAAAACCCTAAAAATGTATTGATTTTCTAAATCCCTAGAGCCAGGATAAATTCCATTATGCAGGGGTTTACTCAATAAGAAAAGGATTCCAGCGTTTGAAAGGGTTATCTGGGAAGACCAATCTATAAGATTTGTACTTACCCCCAGAAACGTGCTCCTGTCCGTCTGAATACGTGCTGACTGCGTAAACATTCCAAGTAACCCATTACTGACAATGTCCATAAGAACCGGGAAGCAATTCAGTCTCTTGGTATTGCATGCCAACGTAAAATTATAATTCTAAAATATAACAAGTTTATAAATGATCAAAGATTTTCATGTTTTTCTAAAGAAGTCAAAACTCAATATTTTAATTTAAGAAATTACCTTTTTTGTTTGCCTTTTCATTTTGTGGCACTGAGGATTGAAATCTGACCTCATGCACATAGCACAAACACTCTACCATTGAGCTACATTCCCAGCCCCAAGAACATGTGTTTAAAATGATGTCAAATAATGATTTTAAATCCCTGAAAACACCAGGCTAGTAAAAAAAAAAACCCTGTGTAAACAAAAGCAAACACTTGTACTAGTAAACCAAAACATATATACAGTAAAACAAAATCTGATTTACCAAGTGTCTTGCTTAAGACTAGAATCAGGTTCTGAGAATTTATTGTTTAAGAGCAAGACAGAAATTTCAGAATGTATATATTATAAAATCCTTGAGAGGAAGTCTGAATTCTTTGGACTTAAATACATATACTTTAATATAGTGTGTATTTTGCTAATACGCACTACTTCGGTTGATAGACAACCACGGACACATGAACACGCTGGCGGGATAATGCTAACGAATACAACTTATTAAGTGATAAGTTGTTTTTCATTTTTGTTTCTTAAATTGGATACTTGAGAATATTAACATCTTGTTAGCTTTCCACACCTTTGGGGGAAGTATTCAACAGAGACTAGCACACCTTCTCATTGGCAGACACTATGATGGCTCCGTTGTAAGATGGGTCATCTACACCATTTCCAGCTCCAGATGCATCTACTTCCACAGCTATGTTCTGGTGCCCCACAGAACGGATAAAGTCGTCAATGCTGCCCCCTAAGGTTGTAATGTAACATTTCAAAGGTAGAAAAAGCAATGTCGGGCCATGTGGCTCAATTGCAATTAATGTCTTTATGTGATACTGTAACAAAGATTGTCAGGAATTTATTTTTGTGGTATTGAGGATTGAACTCAAGGTCTCAAGCTTGCTAGGCAAGTGCTCTCCCACTTGAGCTACATCCCCAGTCTTTTTTCTTTAGTTTGTTTTTTTTCTGATAGAGTCTTGAGCTTACTTTGCCCAGGCTGGCCTCAACCCAATTTCCATTCTCCACCTCCCCAGTACCTGGGACCACAGGTGTGTGCCACCTCACCTGGCTTTTTTTGAGATAGAGTCTTGCTACTTTTGCCTGGGCTGATCTCTAACCACAGTACTCCTAACTTGCCCCCCAAGTAGCTGAGATTACAGGTATGAGCCACCAAGCCTGACTTTGTCAGGATATTTTTTTCTACATAACATGCTTACTATTGTGAGTTAAGAATCTATTCATTTTTCAAAGTGCTTACATCATAATATATTTATTTGCTTATGATTACTCATAATGTAAAAATATATTTATTACCATACGGCTCTTAGATTTATTTTCTAGAATGAATAACTATAACCAATATGTCTTAATAACAAATAATTTGTGTTAATTAACCACTAAATTTGTTGAAATCATGTCACTACTGCTGTATCATTGATTTTTAAACTGTTTCTTGATACAGGAAGATAAGTTGGTGATATGAAGAACTGTGCGGACCCTCTCCCCAGAAAAACTACAACTCTAGAAATAACTGAAAAAATACCACCTACTTAAAATTCCTTGAAATTGTCCTAAGCATATAGAGAAAATGAAGAAATGTATGCTTAAGGAAATGTACTCAAATTTGGTAGGAACACTTCTTTGAGCGAGTCAGTAAGCACACGAAAAGACGCTGAACATCATTAGGCATTATCAACTAGAAATCAAGCCACAAGATATCACTCGATTTATAATAAAAGATTTATAATCTATGGTGATTATAAATAAGACAGGAAATAATGAATATTAGCAAAGACGTGTAGATATTGAAATCTTCATAGATTGCTAGTGTGAGCATAAAGTGATACACTCACTTTGTGAAACAGTTGAGCGGATTCTTAAAAGTTAAACATAGTCATCATATGAGCCAACAATTCCATTCACAGGAGGCTACCCCAAAGGAATGAAAATATATGTGTGCTAAAAGGCCACACATAAGCATTGATAGAAGCATTATTCATAATAACCAGTTTTGAGGGAAAAGTATTCATGTGTTGATGAATGATAAATAAAATGTGATACACCCATCCTATAGAATGTCATTCAACAATATATCCATCTTATAGAATATTATTCAACAATTTAAAAATGAAGTATTAATATGCAGATACATGCTACAACATGCATGAACTTTGAAAAGCATTATTACCTGTTTTATTGATGATTAGTAGTTGACTGAGAGGGTCATGTGGTTGTTGTCCAGGAGCAAGGAAGTACAAATGAGGGGAAAGTTCCCAAGCATAACTCTCTTGATATATTTTCACCAAGATATACTCCACAAGAAGAGGGGAAAATCCAACTGCTAGAATCAATAGCCTACACAGAAGAAAATTGCCTTTCAGAAATGTTCTGACAAAATTATAATGTATTGAGGTCAAGAAATTATGAAAATTAATGGCCTAGTTTCTTTAATATTTTATCTCTTTCCACTTCTGAACTGAAGGAGATAAACCACAGATGTATCCTTTCATCATTTCTCTTGGTCTTTGGCTATTGGGTATTCCATATAATTTCATGGTACTATATATATACTCTTTAACTCATATCCAGATTCTGCCTATGTCTTCTGCTTCCAGTGTGATGCTCTGCCTTCCTGCTGGTTAATTCACCAACATTTTACCTTTGTTTTTCTTTTTGTTCACCCCTCTTCTCATAGTTCCTGCTTGTGACCATATGACTTCTTTAGTCTCTGGCTCAGATTTTTAATTATCTTTTAGTCTTTTTTATGTTTCTTACTTACTTTGAAACCCTTCTCCACCCCTAATTTATAATTGCATCTTTTCTTATATCTTACAAAACATGACTAGCATCCCTCCATTCTTTGTTGTCTCCAGACTTTGTTATATAGTGTTTCCAATGCAATATTACAGATTTTTCTTAAAGCATGCTAACCTCTTCATCAAAAATTTGTTTAGCAAGTATTTATTGAGGTTGAATTATGTGCTAGGCTGGTTATGTCTTTATTGCTCAATTAAAGTATAGTGCTCAGAGAAAAGTCATTGGTAGATAGGCAAGGTATCGTGGGCACCTGGGTAGCAATGGGAGGTGATATGTGTGTTGGAAGCAAGGGTGGTGTCTGTTATACACAGAGGAGGAATGAAGACTGGGCTACTTTCACTTAAGAAGGCTGCAGGAAGTCATGACATTTAGGGATGAGGCAGTAGAATAACCACATAGCATCTAAAATGGAGAATTTAACTCTGGAGTTAGTAGGTATAGGTAAGAACTTTCTCAATGGAACCCCAGCAGCACAGCAACTAAGAGATAGCATAGATAAATGGGACCTCATAAAGCTAAAAAGCTTCTGTTCATCAAAAGAAATGGTCTCTAAACTGAAGAGAACACCCACAGAGTGGGAGAAAATATTTGCCAACTACACATCAGACAAAGGACTGATAACCAGAATCTATAGGGAACTTAAAAAACTAAATTCTCCCAAAACTAATGAACCAATAAAGAAATGGGCAAGTGAACTAAACAGAACTTTCTCAAAAGAAGAAATTCAAATGGCCAAAAAACACATGAAAAAATGCTCACCATCTCTAGCAATAAAGGAAATGCAAATTAAAACCACACTAAGATTCCACCTCACCCCTGTTAGAATAGCCATCATCAGCAACACCACCAACAACAGGTGTTGGTGAGGATGCGGGGAAAAAGGAACCCTCTTACACTGTTGGTGGGAATGCAGACTAGTACAACCACTCTGGAAAAAAATTTGGAGGCTACTTAAAAAGCTAGACATCGATCTACCATTTGATCCAGCAATACCACTCTTGGGGATATACCCAAAAGACTGTGACACAAGTTACTCCAGAGGCACCTGCACACCCATGTTTATTGCGGCACTATTCACAATAGCCAAGTTATGGAAACAGCCAAGATGCCCCAGCACTGACAAATGGATTAAGAAAATGTGGTATCTATACTCAATGGAATTTTATGCAGCCATGAAGAAGGACGAAATGTTATCATTCGCTGGTAAATGGATGGAATTGGAGAATATCATTCTGAGTGAGGTTAGCCTGGCCCAAAAGACCAAAAATCGTATGTTCTCCCTCATATGTGGACATTAGATCAAGGGCAAACACAACAAGGAGATTGGACTTTGAGCACATGATAAAAGCGAGAGCACACAAGGGAGGGGTGAGGATAGGTAAGACACCTAAAAAACTAGCTAGCATTTGTTGCCCTTAACGCAGAGAAACTAAAGCAGATACCTTAAAAGCAACTGAGGCCAATAGGAAAAGGGGACCAGGAACTAGAGAAAAGGTTAGATCAAAAAGAATTAATCTAGAAGGTAACACCCACGCACAGGAAATCAATGTGAGTCAATGCCCTGTATAGCTATCCTTATCTCAACCAGCAAAAACCCTGTCTCTTCCTGTTATTGCTTATACTCTCTCTACAACAAAATTAGAAATAAGGGCAAAATAGTTTCTGCTGGGTATTGAGGCGGGGGGGGGGGGAGAGGGAGGGGGCGGAGTGGGTGGTAAGGGAGGGGGTGGGGGCAAGGGGGAGAAATGAACCAAGCCTTGTATGCACATATGAATAATAAAAGAAAAAGGAAAAAAAAATAAAATGGAGTATTTACATGTCGATCTTGGCAAAGAGGATCTACATCCCATAGGTGAAGATCATCTCACACAGTGGAGAATTTGAAGGACAGGAAATATTATAGGAAAACTTGCATTTTTATAACCTTCGCTCTACAATCATGTCTGAAACATAAATTCCATAGGTAGTGTCTTAAGAGGTAACTATTAGGACCATTGACTAAACTGGCTATTATGTTTTATCTAGTTTTGAAGACACAGTTGTTTTTTGTTTTATTTTGTGCTTTCCTCTTGTTTTTGCACCTTATCTTTAATGCATTGGCTTAAAAAAATTGGAGGTCATCTAATACTTACAACGATAAAAGAGCTTTTCTTTCATGCTTTAACTTTAGCAAGCGAACCCTTGCAATTGCACAGATTTGCTGTCCCCAGAGAGCCAGTCCACCTATCGTCTTTCTCATGTCCGTAAGTGAAGAGAGAATTTGTTCCATCTCAACAAGCCTTTCTGTGTCCCCAGCTCTTTCAGATTGCACTAAAACACAAAAGAAGCAATTCATAAGATCTCACTTCAGATATGCATTACTAAGCCTACTGTAGGAGGCTCTGGCAATTAACATCTTCATTTCCTACAAGCATTATGTGGCGTTACTGGATGCTGTGTTGAACTGGAGAAACAGATTCATGTCTTGAAAAAAAGGAAGAGTAGAAAGGAGATCTTAGATAGTTTGGATACAGAGACTATATTAAGTTAGATAGATATGAAATGTCATTGCAGTGCCTGGGTGTAACGTGAAAAGTTAGTAGAGGAAACAATTATGTATTCATGTGGAGAGGCATGCTACATAATTGTAAGTGACAAATTACAAACCTGGGGGTTAACTATAAATAGTCACTACTGGAGAAATTTCAAATCTATTCATGGTGTTTAAGGCTGCACTCTTTGGCCTATTCAATATGAGCAATATGTTTCAATGTATGATACTAAAATAGACCTGTAGAGTGCTTCTCTAGCAAGCAGGACGTCCTGAGTTCAATTCCCAGTACCATAAATAAGTAAGTAAGTAAATAAATAAATAATAAACCTGATATCAGGCCTCAAAAATCACATCCATAAATGCACAGACACAAAAACACACAATGAACAAAGGCACAAAGACCTGTAACAGAATAGTGGCCAAAAGCATGCCAAGAGAATAAGTCAGGGATCTTATGCTTCTACTTAATTGTAAGAGACTCACTACTCTTATCAAGACAAGATGATAAATATTAGTGACTTTTTTTGCGGTACTAGCAATTGAACTCAGGGCTTTGTACTTGCTAAGCAAGTGCTCTACCACTTCCTCAGGCCTCCAGGTCTTTTGCTTTTAGTTTGTTTTCCAGATAGTGTCTCATATTAAGCTTTGCCAAGAGCTGATCTTGGACCACAATCCTCCTAGACCTGCCCCTTGATTTGCTAGGATTTAGGTGTGTGCCACCAGGACCAGCCCTCCTAAGATGACATAATTATAGTAACTTATAATCCACTAGTTTACTAATGATAAACTAAAGATGGCAGGAAGTAATAGAGAAGCAAAGGACAGATGGGACTAATATGATAAATTTAAACATAACCATAGCAATAACCACAGTAAAAGTAAATGGCTAAACAATGCTTATAGAAAATACATTGCAGGTGTGTTTAAAAATTCAACTCTGTACTGCTTATAAGAAATGCATTTTAATGTAGAAGTACAAGAAAGGTAAAGAAATTTAAAATGGAATAATAAACCATGAAATACAAACAATAAAATTGAGGCACTGGATTGATTCTACACAATTTGAACTTCAGGGTAAGTGCTGTTGTTGGAGATGAAAAAGAACCTTTTTCTTTATGATAATGAAGGCAGTGAAAAAAGACAAAGAAATCCTCCATGTGTATAATGCTTCATCACAGACATTCTAAGTGCACGAAGTACAACTCGCCTAACTAAAAGAGAAAAAGAGGATTACAGTTGGAGATTTCAAGATCCCTTATTTAATATCCTTCACCTGTAATTGATAGAAAATATAGGCTAAATAAATAAACCAATAAGGCTATAGAATCTTTGAACAATACTGTCATCTGACTATATCTAGTTGATATTTATGTAATTCCGCACACAACTGAAGTTCTGTAAGTATATCTATGCTGTGTGTATATAGTCTATAAACACATATATTTACATATGTATGTATAAACATTTTTCAATGGATAAAAGCTATTCACAACAATATGCCTCAGTACATTTAAAAGATTTTGAAATTACAGATTATGTTTTATGACCACACTAAAAATTTAATGTAAGTAACAATAATATCTAGGAAATCCACAAATATTTATAAATAAAGCAACACATTTTCTGTGACTATGCATGACAACATCTCATCAAATTTGGCATATCATTAAAGATATAAACATTAAAAAAGAAACAAATACAAATTGTGAATTTGAAAATTTTAGTAACTAAATAAAATTTCCTCAGAAGGCCTCAACAGATTTCAGAAGATAGAACAATTAGTGATTATCACAAGATAAATTGAGATAATTCAGTCTAAGAAACACATAGAAAAATGAACAAAGAGAATGAACAATCTAAGAGAAATATGGGACACGATGAGGCACGCTAACATAGACTACAGCAATGCAGAAACAGATGCAGGAGAGAGAGAGGACAGAAAGTGTTTGTGAAGAAACAATAGCTAAGCTGGGCTCATGCCTGCAATACCAGGTGTGAAAGGAAGCGAAGGGGAGGATTGAAGTTCAAGACCAGCTGTCCAAATAGCTTGTGAGACCCTCATCCCCACAATAAAAAGCTGGGTGTGGTGGTGTACTCCTGTCATCTCAACAACATGGGAATTGTAAATAGAAGAATAGCAGTCCAGGCTGGCTTGGACATAAATCTGAGACCCTATTCAAAAGATAACTACAACCAAAAGAACTGGGGATGTGGCTCAAGGGATAGGTTGCCTGTCTAACAAGTGCAAGGTGCTGAGTTCAAACCTTAGTATTTCCAGAAAGAAAGGAAGGGAGAGAGAGAGAGAGAGCGAGGGAGGGAGAAAAACAAAGAGAGAGAGAAACAATAGCTAAAAACTTCTGAAATTTGATGAAAAACACTAACCTACACATCCAAGAGGCCCCATATCCACTACAAGTGGGATAAATGTAAAGAGATCCATCCCTAAAGACACCCATTCAAATGTCAAAAATGAAAGACAAAAAGAGAATCTTAACAGAGATTCTCTTCATATGCAGGGTCCCTCAGTAAGATTGAGAGCAGATTTCTTACCGGAAACCAAGGAATCCAGCAGGGAGAGGGATGGCGTAAACAGTGTGTGAAGACAGATTTAGACTAAATGTTTTGTTTGAAATTTGTTTGTTGGGAAGTTTGGGGATCTGAGGAAACTTGCATGGAAGAAAACACGCTACTTTTAGTGACAAGGCAATATTGACAGAGGACATATCTCATGTTTACATCACCTTGAGCACAAAACCCCACATTTCATCATCCTACCTTGGGAACAGAGCCTTCTTGAACTGAGTGTTGGGAATCATTTTTCATGATACTTTTCATGCATTTTATTTACCTGACTCATCAACTGCTGATTTTCCTTCTAGTTTCAGGAACACTTCATTCAGAGTTGTCATGGAAACACCATAGGTGTCAATTCCCAGACTTGAACAGTTGTCAAGATCCTTGTAAAGATCTGAGGAAAACACAGCAGTGAATCAAAACAGCAAATATCAGGAAGGAGCTGAGGACATCTTCAAATGAAAAAAAAGTGCAAGTATATGAAATTATACCCAAGGTATTTCAAAGACATTTTAAAACCCAATGAACAATTTCATTTTTCAAGTTCTACATATTATTTTCTATTTTATACTATGTGTTATAACCCAAATATTACTTTCTGTCATCAAATATTAATTTATATTCACTTATATTTTCCATCAAAATTTCATTTTAGTTTTTTTCTGATTTGCTTTCAAAATTTGGATGGTTGTGAAAGTTTGGATTTTTCAGTTCTAAGACTAATCAATTTGAAGAGTCTTTCCAAAAGAACAGCTACAATGGGGAGCCATCTATACTGTAACCAACAAGAGAAAAAACTAATTTTTTGAGAATTAGTGGAATGATACAGGATTTTCCTTGGCTCAGAAAGTATTAGTGAAAGGAAACACATGGAGTATTAGGTCATTTAAAAAAATGTTCTGTTTCTGACAAAGGAAGAAAAAACTATAATACCTGACAGAGAATAAAGAACTGAATTGTAATTTTCTTGGAAGAGTAGGGAATTATGATAGTAACTACCTCCCTCTAGCAACTTTGTATCCATTCATTCTTGATTCATCAAAAAATATTCTGACATTAGTCATTGTTTAAAAAGCAGGAACAATGTCCCTGTCTTCATGGATTTGAATTATATAGTTAATTAAATGAAGCTTAAACATAAACTTCATTCTAAATTGTAGGGTGATTATAAAAGTCCTGAGGTTTCAAACGGGATTGTCTACTTGGGCAAAAGTATAAACTAAGAACTTCTAGTCTTGACTAAAATATCATAATGTAAGATTTAAACACCTAATGAATATTATTCTCATACTTCTTTATTCTTCTTTAAACTTTTACATACTCCCTTTAAATTATAATTACTCTTAAATAGATTAATTAGGGTTCAATTAACACTTTGTTTAATGATTTCAAAGAATACTTATGTTGTCATCATGTATGTATATTTGTGCGACTTTATGGGGTTATTTATATATCTTTGATAACTGTGTGTATGGCAAAGTTAATTCTTTCAGTCACTTAACAGAGGCTCTCAGAATGTAAAGGAGCAGATTGTCTGAATGACAAACATAATTAGTAAACTTTACATATTAACCTGAAAAACCCAATATTATCACAAAGGCTGACCAACAGAAATCACAACCTAAAGAGCAGTTTAACATAATGGTTACACCAGACATTTCATCATTTGTGATTTGTGTTCATGTATAGTTGTGAACACTAGAATATTTTGCTATACCCTATGATGGGAAGGAGTAAAAGAAATCTCTAAAATGTCCACATATTACAATGTGACTACTAGAACGTAATAATATTTCCTAGTGTAGATAAAATCATCTTCATTTTATGATTCTTTCAATCATGTTTTGATACCTGAACACATTGTAAACTCTCAATAAATGTTAGTTATTGAAGTTACCATTGTTATTTTATGAATATCATTTATAAATTTCATCTCATTATGTTCGTGTACATTACCTGGAAATCTATAGGTTGTTTCTAAGGGTAATGTATAGACAAGTTTTCCTTCACTTTCTGCTGATAACTTGGCATCAGGGATGTGCTGTTTAATGAATGATGTTATGTTTTCCCGAACACACATTTCATTTATCTGCAAACTATACAATAGAATGAAAATAATGATGAATTTCTATGGGACAAAGAAAACAAAATACCATGGGTGTGCAAAGATCATAACTATGCAAGGTGGGTAATATTGAAGATTATGTTCGAAGGAAGTTTAAGCTGGCTAAACAGGACTAAAGTACTGGTGTAAAAGAACAAGGGACTTTTGAAGTCATAGATGCCATTTCATTAAGATCTTAGTATGTGACAAACATTGTCGTGAGTGCTGAGTGTGCAATCTAAAAGGACAGTGTTGTTTTGCTATTTTGGAATTATTTGGTGATGGAGACAGTAATTATCACTAGTAGTAAGTGCTATGAAAGAAACACACAGAAAGCTAAAATTAGATTGCCATAGGCAATAGCAGAGGATGGGCAAGGCTTTGCTCCAATCAAACTTTTCTTACAAAAAACAAGAAGTGGGCTAGATTTGGCCATGGGTCATAATTTGTTGACCTCAGATTTAGAAGAAAATAAAGCTATTATGCAAAATTTTGCCCTAAAGTCTGTGAATTGGGCAGGAATCCTGACTAGGACTTTTGATTTTGAGAACATAGTGCATTGTTATGCAATATTTTGGGCAACATCTCATTTATGTTTCTACAACTTTTACTTGCAACCAGGAATTATTACTCTCACTTTTAAATGAGAAAAGTGAATTTCAGCCTAATTAGTTTCCAAGAAGAGCTGTCATCAAAGTGCTTTAGGAAATTAAAACAAAATGACTCATAATTGGAAGATTAACCAAGTGTACACTAAATATTATTCAAATTAACTAGAATTCAAATAGGTGAAGATGGGTTTAAGAAAACTGCCAGCCTCAGTAAATGCCCTTAACAATGGCAAATGTAGGTCAGGGCCAGACACACACAAGGAGCAATGAATATTTCATTTTAACTAGAGGGTGTTGACCCAGTAAGGGCACATGGTAAGGAAATGGTGATAGTCTGGGTCACACCAGCATTACTTAGCTACCTGGTTAGACTCTGGTAGGTAAAATGGAACCATTGAAGGTATTTGTTGTTGTTTTTGTTTTTTGTTTTGTCTTGTCACCATTTTTGTTTCCTCTTTAAAGAATAACCAATTAATATGAAAAGTAAAAAAGCAGTTTAAATTATGGATTTGGACTTTAGAGTTGAAATGTTAAAAATATCCAAGTTCAATTCCTGTCTCTACCACTTGTGAACCTAGTATTATGGTTTGACTATGTCCCCTAAAGTTTGTGTGCTGGAAACTTAATCCCCAACTCAACAGTATTCAGAGGTGGAAGCTTTAAGAGGTAATTCACTCTTGGGTGCCCTTCTGTCCTGAAGGGATTAATACTGTTAACATGGGTGTAGTTTAGTTATTGTGGGAGTGCACTCCTATTAAAAATGGTGAATTTGTTCCCCCCCATAGGTGTGCTTTCTTGCCTTTTCTTCTTCCACCATGGAAAGATGCACAAGGAGGCCCTTGCCAGGTGTAGCCTCTCATCCTTGGACTTCCCAGTCTCTAGAACTATAAGAAATAAACTTCTGCTCTGTATGAATCACCTAGTTTCAGGAATTCTGTTATACTAGCACAGAATGGACAAAGATGCCTAAAAAGTCTTTAATTTCTTCTGTGGAGTACAAGTAACAAGAGTTCCTATATTAAAAATGGAGCATGAAAATAAAATAATATTAAGTATACCATCTCTCAATTGCTCAGTAAATAACAACTCAAATATGCTATGATCCAAAATAATGGCAATAACAAAGTAAGGAGGATAGAAAAGAAGAGAATAAGGAGGATTGAAAAGAAGAGAAGAAGAAGAAAGAGGAGGAAAAACCAGAGGAGTAGAGGAAAATAGCCTACTTACAAAATTGTATCAACATCCTGGATGAGTGACCATGAGGCTGTGAAATATTAGTGTGGCTACTTGAAAACAATCCTTAATATAAATTTCCCTTAATAAGCAATGCATTGTGGATATATTTTCTATCACATTTATCTGAACATTTGTTGCTATCTTTTATTCTCAGTGTCCAAAATCTGCCAATCAATATCTCTCATGCACACACACTAGCTATGTCTCACACAAATATTAGTCTATGCATGTATAGGCATCTGTGTATAAGAATAAAAGCTTTTCTTATGTATTGCAATAGATTGTTCTAAGTGTCATCCAGTTCTCACTCACTCCCAGTCTCCTCTAGTGGCCCTACCTTAAGTGATATCCAATCCCCCATTTCTTCTTCAGAAACAAAGAAGAGCCTGCACACTTCAGCTTCCCTTTGGAGAGAAACACTTTCCTATCTGAAAAGGAAGAAGCAAAGATGAAAGTTTGCTAAGAAGCTATTCATTCATTTTTGAGAAAAGAAAGGTAATCATCTATATGATATAATTCTAATTTGGGAGCTTCTACAATTCCAAGGACAGGGATTAGAAAGGACTCAATGAAATAGACATTTTAATCTAATATATGCAACCCTAGGCTGGTGTTTTTCTGTCTAGCTTTCAGGGAGATAAGATTATGTGGATATATTTTCTGTTATAGAGGATCATCACATTATGCATTTTAATAGATCAAACATTAAAATTATTTGACTCTTTCATTGATTTAACTCAATTTTGAGTAAAAGAATTAATCTCCTAGAATATAGACTTCACTTTCACAATAAGTGAGCTTCCTCATCTACGATCAGAAGATACAAAATTTATAAGCTACACTGAGATGGTTGAAGGTCAGATGCTTTGGACTCAGGTCCCAGCTGTCTAGATCACAAGTTCCAGCTAGATTATCAGATTAGAATAGGAAACTGTTCAGAATACGAATCCACACTTGTCAAATCTCCTATAGTTCTTTTCATGATACTTAAGGGAACCAGCAGTTACCAGCCAGGATGTCAGCCTCATCCATGAACTGGGTACTGAAGAGGATCACGTGATCTGCCTTATGCTCCTTCAGGAGGTTCCATACTCGGTGTCTGGAAAAGGGATCCAGCCCCGCAGTTGGCTCATCCAATAGGAAAATCTAGAGGAAGAAAGTATATATAATGTATTCCTCTAAAGTGAAGTTCTTCCAGAAAACAACACAGAAATCATATTATTTAGATTTAAAAGGGTATTGTGGTTAGAATTTTGCTCAGATGTTGAATACCTCCATTATAAGTATTTTATCAGACATGACCTTTGCAAATAAAATGTTTAAACTGTGACTGAAAGTTTCATTATTTGAAATTTGAATTCATCTGCAAATTTAGTCTGACTTACCTGAGGGTCTCCTAAAATGGCAATCCCAAAGGTTAGTTTTCTTTTCTGTCCACCACTTAAGTTTTGAGCAAGGACATCCTGAATGTTTTTCATTTCCAATTCCAGCAAAATTCTTTGTACCTAAACAAAAAAAAAACAGTATGTAGGTCATACAACCAAATTTCTTTTTACTTTATCTGTTTTGATTCATAAATACAAGGCTGTAAAGTGTGGTGGTTAAAAGCAGAGATGCTAGTTTGCCTAGGTTTAAATGGCACCCATGCTATTGAGGTGTGCAATCTTGGACAAGTTCCTTGCTACCTTCAACCTCAGTTTCCACATACATAAAACCAGGAGAATGATAGCATTTATCTCATCAGTTTGCTGTGAGGAATAAATGAGGTTTTGCATTCAAAGTTAAGGATATTCTTGGCATGCTGTAAATTATATGTAAATGATAGCTCTTGTTTGAGTTCGATTTTTCTGTCTAACATTTATACAATGTCTTATACACAGATCACTTAATGGAAAGAAACTGGTGCAAATAGACTTTAATAATCTTATTTTGACTAATACATTAGTTTGAATATATTTATATACCTCTTTATCCACTTCTTGTGGTGGAATCCCTCTTATTTTAGCAAACAGCCTGAGGTTTTCTCTCACAGTAAGGAAGTCAAATTGCAGATTAGACTGTGGACACACTCCAGTGATCTTGATGAGATTTTCTAGGTCAGCTCTTTCTGAAAGTTTGTTATTGTAGATGGAGACAGAACCTATCACAGTGATCAAATGTCAAAATTAGGATGAATACATTAAATATTTCTAAATAAAAATCACAATTAAATTTTAGATATTCAATTTTATCTTTAAGGTTTATACCAGGCATTATGAATGAACATCCCTTTCAGTTGTATATTAAATAGTATTTTGGAAAAAGTTCCCACCTACAGCTTTTCCCATGAAATGGAGTCTACTATGCACTGCTCACAGTCAGGCTTGGCTATGTGCCCAAAGGGACCTTAGCAAGTGTGATACACGTGGAGGCTAATGAAGAGCTTCTGCACTGTGATTGGTCCTCTTACTGCTGAGCTCCAGAAGACCACTGGGTAAGGAATTCCAGGCCAGCCTCTTGGGAAATCAAAGTCTGTGTGGGAACAGAGGTGCAGCTATCTGAACTGGAGCCTCAAATAAGTGAGTGAGACCATGTGAAATCACCCAGTCCAAGTGACAGGCCCATTCCAGAATAGAGAAAAACAAACAAACAAACAAACAAACTTGCCAAGCCTCAGATTCATGAGAAAAAATAAAACTTTTAAGTCATTAAGTTTGGGCATGTTTGTCATGCAGCAAAAGCTGGCAATGAAAGTCAGAATGCTGTGTGACAGGAGGCAGAAATCAGGAGAATTGCAGTTCAAAACCATTCCAGGAAAATAGTTTGAGACCTTACCTTGAAAAAAACTTATCACAAAAAGAGGTGGTGGCATGGCTCAAGGTGTAGGCCTTGAGTTCAAAAAGCAGTACCACAGAAAAGAAAAGAAGAAGAAAGAATGCCACATGGTAAGTAATGTCTCTGAATATAATTATCATGCCATACTCTTATTCTCTATGTACCAGTTAAATGTTACCTGCTTTCAAAGAATACTACTAGAAATGTCCATGTTTTCCATTGGTATATGTTTTGTGATTAATAAGCAGAAGAATTTTATATTAGCATCTGATATATTTGGGAAAAAGAACTCTTACCTTGGGTGGGAACAGATAGCCCACTAAGAATATTTAACAGTGTTGACTTTCCAGCTCCACTGTGACCAAGTATGGCAGTGATCTGGCCTTCATATATGTCCAATGTTAGATCTGGGAGGAGAAAATAAAGAGAAGAAGATAAGAAAAAAAAAAAAAAGGAAAAGAGGCGGGAGGAAGGAAGGAAAGCAAAACCACAAAACTCTATTATGGAGTGAATGAATTGTTATTTTATTTCTTTGAATAGGTTTTTTTTTTAGGTTTTTCTTGGTTGTTACAGTCAAAATAAAACTTAACCAAGTACCCTTTATAAACTTATTTTTCAAAACATCCTTTCTAGAATATTTTAATTACTAGTTTTAAATGGTTGAAATATGTCTTATATTCCTAAGTTCATTGATATATGATAGGTGGATGTCAATATTTGTTGAATGGAAGACTAGATCAACAATAAATTATTATATGGCTAAAACTTTGAAGTAAAGACCTCCATTTTTGCAGAAAACATAATATATCAACCAATAGCTTTTGGATTACAGAAGAATATTTTGAGTTTGCAGGAAAAGGCCCAGAAGTATTCTTAAGGTACTTCAGTATGACACAGCATAGATTTTAAATACAACTAACTACAAACACTCACTTTTTCTAACTTTTATAAAGTAGAAATGAAGTGTTGGAAGGGGAAAATTATCATCTGACTCAAGTCACTTTAAATATGAGATGGCAGCACTAACTGTTCATCAAAGGCAAAACAAGTTGAGTTTAAGCCAGAAAATCAACATTAACATGTTAATTAGTTTTTACCTTTCAAAGCTTCTATTTTATCAGGCTTTCCTTTATATTCTTTGGTAACATTTCTGATTCTGAAAAAAAACAAGAAAAGCTACTTGAAGGTAACTGTTATCTTCAGTGTGTAATTCTAATTTTGTTGGCAGAATTGGATGAGCTTATTTTCAGGGTACAGGAGGTATTAGGGCTCCATCTTAAGCAGTCATGTTGTATGAGGGAATCATCTAGAGTACTGCCTCTCAGACCTGGTTTCACATTAGTGTCACCTGAGTTTTAAAACCTTGTGCATGGGTCCCATCAGCATAAGTTCTGAATCCATAGATTGGGGTGTGACCTAACACTAGTATAAGAGAACAGACCATCTCTGAATGGTCCTAGCTAAGGAAGCCAGTCCAAGAGACAACAGGGCCATCCAGTGCTAAAAGGATCTTTGTGAATGCCTGGTACACATGGGAGATAGTTTTGGTTACCCTGATTCAAGGTCTCCAGAGGCAGAGTGAGAAAGAGAGGCAGAGACTACCTATGATGGAATGACAGGTGCTGTGTGCTATAAGAGCTGGAATCCTACTCATACTATCCATGTGGTTTTATTCTAGGCAATAGAATCCATAAACTAAATCAAATTTGTTTACTATTTTGTCATTGAATAATTCATATTTCTCTCATATAAAACTATTTGATTAAGCTGCTTTCCCATTTCTAATTTTTTCCTATTTTGTTATTCCACAGTATTTTTAGTTGGGTGAGGTACTGAAGAGATCAATTAGAGGTAAGAAACCCACAAACACACCAAATAAAGCAATTGTTTTGTTCTGAGCCACTTGGCTGGAGGCTAAACAGCCTAGGTTGTGGGACAAATAAAAGTATAGGGTATAAATGTGGAACACAGTAAGATGAGAAAGGAAATGGTCTAGAAGCTCACAGTTTGAGTAACCTGAGACTGTTCCCAGAGGACTGACACATGTTGACTTTGATGGAGGAGTAAGAGCTGAGAAGTCAGGACCTTGAGGACATTCTTCCTATTTTCTTATTTGGAAAGAAAAGTTACCAGCCCCAGACAAAATGGCTATTTTTCTGTCACACAGATTGAGGTTATGCATGACTCTAAGGGGCACATCTTCATTCCCACTGTGTCTCTCTCTAGGTCTTCTTTTCCTTCTTCCTCCCTACTCGATCATCATCTTCTTTTATGAGGCAATAAATACAAGAGGAAAGAGAAGTTAAAAATTGGGAGGAAAATGGAAAGTTAATAAGTAAAATGGGAATAAAGTGTGAATGAATGTTTCTAATCAAAGAAAAGAGGCTAAGTAAGGATGAAGAAAGAACAGAGAAGAGACTGAGAATCTAGGCAAAAGTTTGCTGAATCATCTTTGTGAGTGAATGCTTAAGTTTTTATTTTCTATAAATGTCAATAAGACTGCAAGGGGTTGGTAAAGGAATTTTTCTTTACCCTTGATGTGGGAAGTGATGGACATGGGATGGTGAAGCCAGATGTAACTGTTCACAAAGTCCAAAGAAAACTCTGTTTGCCTCACATGCTAGTTCTAGCTCCCCAGCTTTGGCCTGGTGTCCGTTCACATCCTTGTTACCTTATGGCTTCTTTCCCATGGAATTCTGGAGACATTGGTTCAAAAGAATCACTCTGTGAAGGACTGGAATCTACCTCATCTTCAAATGCCTCATGATCAGGTTTTTGTTCTCGTGACCAAAATGAGGACTTGAGGAAAAACAAAGGTGAATACCGACGTCCATGATCATCTATTGGACCAGAGACAAGTCAAAATTGGGTCATTTACCACTTTTACAGAGAGGGAGTCACACTAATGCAGTCTGGCAATGAAACTTCTCTTTGCTAAATAAAATAATGACTGAAACAAGATAAATTTGTTGACATGTACAGCTTTACAAAGAAAAAAACTCACCAAGATATCTCTATCTTACTTCCATAGTAAGCAATGAAATTATGCCTGAAATATTTTTTTAGAAGGAATTTCAACGAATTCTCGGAATTTTCTTAACCTTGAGAAAGTCAGCTATTGGGATAAAAGTGCAAGATATGCCAGGCCTGCTGAGTTCTTTATAGGAAGAAGACATTGAGAAATAACTGTTGTATGTATAAAACAACTATTTCAAGACAAGACAGAATAGATCTTAAGAAAAATGAATGAAACACTTGTGAGAAGGAGGGATATGGGACAAAAGAATTTATTCAAATTTAACATAAAGTTGAGCTTTTACAAAGAGACTTTAGATTTCTTATCTCTAAATAATAACTTTCTGTCTGAAGCAAAGTTGTGATACATTTTAAGAACACATATTAGTGGAAGTTAATCTGTAGTGCACTTGTGTTTTATTGTTATTTCTGCTTCCCCAGGTTAGGAAACATTATAAAATAGAAGAATCCTATTTTTTCCTAATATTCTGCAACTGACCTCCACTGTTAAGCTGATAGACTTTCACACTTGCGTGTACTTTTCACACATGTAGTCCTTCATTGATGCAATAAATACATACTGAGAGCTCTCTGTATACCTGGCATATGGTAGATTTTCAGTTAGAACCTATCTCCTGGATTGACTTGTACATGATTCTGTCATTTTGCCCAGTTAATTTTTTTCTGTCATTCATATTTATTATCCTTAAAAGAATTTCCTTCTCCTTCCTCCTCCTCCTCCTCCTCCTCTCCATCTCTTTGTCTTCTCTCTCTCTCTCTCTCTCGCTGTCATTTTGAGATAGGGTCTTAGAACTTGTGATCCTCCTGCCTCAGTCTCCTAAATGCATGTGTGCCACCATTCCTGGCACCTTCAAAAAGAATTTTGAACAAAGCCACCTCTGGTCTTAAATTCAGCATTTGTGGGTGGGTTATTATTAGGAAGAAAATCAAACAATTTAGTCATTTTGGATTAAATAAAATTTCTAGTATATTGACATAAAATTGCTTTGAAACAAAGAAAAGTGCATGTGAAAAATATATTTGTGACTACAGCAAAATATTGAGTAAGAAAAATAACACAGGGGTCAGACAAGGGCAGGGCATGGTGGCACGCATCTGTACTTTCAGCAATCAGGAAGCAGAGGCAGGAGGATTATAAATTCCAGGCCAGCCTGGGCTATGCAGGAAGACCTCATCTCACAAAGCCAAATCAAACCAGCCATCAACCAAAAAAAAGGAGGGAAAGGGAAATACACCAACATTTCGACCACAAGTACCTACTGAGTCCCTAGTGTGTCAGACCACATCTTGGGTGGTGTCTGTAGACAAAATAGATTCCCTTCTGTGGAACTCATTTTCCTACAAATAGCAAGGTTACAAAATAAAAATTTATGATATGTCAACTTTTGAGTTGTGAAACCCTGGGGGGATTTTAAAAAAAAATAGATAGCCAGCTCCAATCACTGATAAATCATACCCAAAATTCTCTAGGATGAGCTAGGCGTCTTATTTTTTAAATTTCCTTGTGTTCTGAGCAGGTCTCAGAACTGCTGAGCTAACTAAGTAGTTATACAAAGGTTGCTGTTTTTATTCTTACCATACCCACTTAGGAACAATCTTTCTAAACTTCTCTTTAAAAAAGAAATGCACCATTTCTTAGAGGAAAGTGAAGTTCAAATAATGATTACAGATGCAATGCACAAAAATTAAGGCTTCAATTCTTAACAGCCAAGTGAAACAAAATGAAAGAAATGAACCAATTTGGCTTGAGGCATGGACTTTGCTCCTCTCCTTCCTGTTGATACACAACGTAGTTCTTAAAATATAAATAATGCACATATTAGGGAATTTTTTTAAGAAATAAGATTATTAAAATAATATACTACTTAATCATACTACTACTCACTTGGCAAAATCTTTAAAAGGTACATCATCAAAGCCAGATAGAGGAAAGTATCAAATGCCAACATGAAATTTGTTGCTATAATTAGATTTGAGCCGTCTGATGGTTCAAGAAGTGCATTAGAATTTATATCATAATCCAAGTGTAAAAGCTGAAAATTAAGAAATTAAGGGAAATTAGAATTATGATAAAATTTAAACAACTAGGCTGAGCATAGGAATAGATAGCTAGTTAGTGACTCACACTGGGAACAGAGAGCTAGGTAAGAAGTTTTTTACTTTACTGGATGTTACAGACTTGTGAGCAACTGTAATGCAATTTAATAATTGCTGTGATAAAAATATGTCCTAAATGAAATTGGAACATTAGAAGGAGGTAGGAAAACATGGCAAAAGATGGAATTTGAACACAAACTGCGATTTTTACCCAGTCAAAAAAAGAAGCAGTACTCATTGAATATGGTTACACAAAGGGGAGGTTTCTCTCTGTGAAAAAAGCAGTTGTTTTTAAAGAAAACCAGGAAAAGTGGGCTGTTTTATAATGTTCAAGTTAGTGAATGCTTTATAGTTAACAATCCCTTTGTTGAGCACAAAATACCAGCTATTTAATGATTTGGCACTACCATTTCATTGGAAGGAAGGCAAGGTGAGTTTGAGAAGAATCAAATAAGCAGAAAACATGTTTTATAAAAAGAAACACAATCTATCAATAAATTAATATGTTTTTAAAGTGGTTTTAAATATAATGTTATTTTGTGGTATTGACAGTTATATGTACTCTTCAATTACCAAATCAAAATCTGAGCAAAAGCTGATCTCACACAAATGGAAAGTAGAAGAGTGGCTACCAGTGGCTGGGGGGGGGAGGGGGGAACAGGGCAAAAAGGGATAGAGAGAGATTGATCGATGGGTGCAAAGTTACAGTTAAAGAGAAGGAATAAATTCTCATGTAGGGGTGAGGATAGTTAACAATACTGTATTTGCAGTATCAAGTCTGTATTTAATGGCCTAGCAAAATACTTTACATTGTCTCTAAAGAATTGTGCATGCATCGTCCAGTTTCCATTTTTAAATGGATTATTTTCCTGACTAGATGCTTTACAAAACTTTTAAAAGTTTACCTATGCAAAACTCAGAGAGTCTATGCAGGGTTTAAAATTTTACAACACTGAACACGAAAATGATTTCATACTACTGACTCTAGAGAAGATGTTATTAATAAATTATTAGCTGGTTTCTCACCTGGGCCATTCCAAGCATGAAGGCGAAGGGGCTAAGAAAACTTAGAATCCACTCCAAGGACACAGGTAGGTATCTGTACAATGCCATGAACCCCAGACTCCCCCAGAAGACAGTGAGAAGAAACACCAGCAGACCAGTGAGGAAAGACTTCTTTACCAAAACACTCATTAAGAAAACCAAAGCAATCTAAAATGAGAGAAGATTCAGGAGGTTTATGACTCTCCAAGAATTGTTTGCAGCATAGTAGCAGAAGGGATTTAACATACAAAATTATACTGTTATTTTGTATGGATACATTAAACTATGTCTTATAATTTGTACTAAAAATTGCCATTACAAAATACTTCATGTCAACCTGTATCTGTCTATGGATTTTTGCATGCAAGCAGATCAGATAGAAAACTCTACCAGATAACTGGAAAACAAGCCAACACTTGATTTTGTGGTACTGGAGATACAACCCAAGGCCTTGCATGTGTTAGGCAAGAACTCTACCTCTTAAGCCCCAGTCTAACCCCTTTGCTTTTGGATTTTGTATCTGAGACAGGGTCTTGGTAACTTTGCCCGGGTCTGCCTTGATGTCTTCATTCTCCTGTCTCTACCTCCTGAGTAGCTGAGATTATAGGTGAGCATTATTACATGGGGCTCCCAACACTTGATTCTTAGGGTAAGAGATGAATGGGAGAAGGTTAATTAATTAACTCACCAAGGACAATCCATAAAGGAGAAAGAGGATGAAGACCACCATGAAGTTGGTCAGAACGAAAAACTTGACAGATTCTACAACAAGTGCCAAGAAAAGGGCCATGATGAAGATGAAACCAGCATAGAGAATCCCCCAGGAGAGCCTGATGTAGAAAAAGGTGCTATTTTTAGTATTTCTTGCTCAACTGGCAGGGAGGACCTGCAATCAATTTGAACATAATTGCTACTTGTCCATCCACTCATTCACTCATCCATGTTCTCATTCACCAGATACTTATTGACTGTTCCAGGAGATATGTAAATATAAGGTAAAAATTCAGGACAGAATTTGTGAGAAATTAGTAATATTATTTTCCCTATGATGGATCACAGAAACACATATACACGTGCATGTGCACACCACGTATACATCATAATGAAGAAAAGGAATAATTAAGTTACCAGAGCTATGGATTTGGGTGGAAATATTTCATGTGATGTAGTCTTACCTTGTGACCTTGGGAAAACTCTGTAAGCACTCTATTCTCTATTCCTGTGCATAGGAATTACTGTAGGTGAGGACTCAGTGGGGTGAGATTGCATAGGGCACTGTCTTACTTAGTTTATGGTAGCCCCTCACTGAACCTCTGATCCTTTTCTCTGGAGGATCTTAGGTTAAGAAGCATCAACCACTTTTCTTTCTTCATTCATTTCTTTATCTGTTTTACAATATTTTTAAAGGTATGGAAGAATAATGATAATTTTAAAAATCAAAAACAAAACAGCTACAAACAAAAGAATAGCTACTACATATAGTAGTTACGATGCTTTGGACAATGTTTTAAGAACTTAGCAAATACTGAATAATCCAATTTTCTCCAGAGTTCTATGCAGAAATACCATTTCTTTATTTTTCTTATTTTCTTTACAGACAGCTTAGTGAACAAAGATGTTAAGTTACCATGTCCAGATGTTTGCTATAAAATCTCTAGTTCCTCTGATATTAATTCAATAAGGCAGTCAATACTGATTTATAGGATTTTAGTGCTGGAAGGAAGTCTAAGTCCTAACTTGCCACATACACAATCCACCTGGCTCCCTCTTTGGTATTTTACTTCCTTCCTCCTGTAAACATCATTTGCAGTCAATTATTCACATGTTCTCACATAGAACCTTGTCCATTCCTGAAATTATTCAACCTCTGATTTTAAGAGAAAACTATCTAGCCCCCGTGTGCAACCCTATCCCACCAGCTCATTGACTCAGACACACTCCTCATGTTCTCCAGTCTCAGAGGAGCTAGTGACCCTTGACCTCTCTATCCCATTTAGTCCTGTCCTAGCTGGAATTTCGGCTGGCAGAGACACCACTGTTTGCCTTTTCTACCACTCCCTTACCAGTAGATTCACTGGCCCCATAAGCCCTGCTTCACAAGCACCCAGCAAACCTAACCCCAACGTTCTTTCTTCACTCAGAGAACCACAGCAACACCTGGGCTCAGGTAAATGTCATACCAAGGATGATTTATTCCATTCATAGGGAAAATGGGGAAAAGTGAGAAAATCTTAGGCTTTCATAACAGAGTCTAAGCTTCTCGTCATTGATTTGCTATGTTTGCTTCCACCAGAATGCTGAATCTTGTAGACCCATCATTGTCATCAAACCCTTCATCTTTTTCCTCTCTCTTGTTACGTTGATAGACGCATAGTAAGTGAATGGGGAAAAGGAAATAATGCAGAAGAAAATGAAGAAATCGGTTATAATTCCTCCTTGACTAATGAAGGGATATGTCTTCATGTGTCTCCCAGTAACTGACATTAGTTCTTCCATCACTGTGTTATTTGTTGTGGTCTGAAGAAACATTGATAAGCACAATTTGCATATTAATGGATGACATGCTCTGGATTCTTTGTTGTTGCTGTTATTGTTGTTTAAATCATTCTTTTCCTAATGAATAATGGACCCGTCAGGATCTGACATCAGCCTAACCCATGTCTATGTCCTGACACTGGCACACCTGAATTGCGGAATCGGGCATTCAAGGCTGTCCACAGTTCTTGGGGTTTAGTATGTCTCTCATTACTTTCCCACCTAACGTCACTTTAAAATTTGTTTGAAATACCTTTTCTGAACATATATATTCAGCAAACCCCTAAGCTCAAATTTTAAGTTAAACTGTAATTTCAATTAGGAATTCTTCTATGGCGTTATAGGCTGAGAAGATAGTGCTCATTTACTTACAAGGGCTTTCTGTATATCCCCATAACAGCCTACTTCTGTTGCAATAATTTTCGTATTATCCACTGCTTCTTGACAGTGGAAGTTCAAGGAGGAGACGACTTTAGAAAACTTTGTCATAAAGGTATGAATAAGAGCCAGGCACTGGTGGTTCATGCATGCACCCTTGCTACTTGGGAGGCTGAGAACAAGAGGACCACAGTTTGAGGTCAGCCCAGGGAAAAAGTATGCAAGACCCCATCTCAACCAATAGGTGGGTGTGATGGTGGTACATGTGCCTGCCATCCCAGCTATATTGAGAAGCATAAATAGGAGGATTGTGATCCAGGCTAGACTGGGAAAAATGTGAGACTCCATCTCCAAAGTAATCAGAGCAAAAAGGGCTGGATGCATGGCTCAAGCAGTAGAGTGCCTGCCTAGCAAGCATGAAGCCCTGAATTTAAACTCAGTATCATTAAAAAAATCAAATGTGCATGTGAACTAAACAGAACTTTCTCAAAAGAAGAAATTCAAATGGCCAGAAAACACATGAAAAAATGCTCACCATCTCTAGCAATAAAGGAAATGCAAATAAAACCACACTAAGATTCCAACCTCCACCCCTGTTAGAATAGCCATCCATAGCAAACCACCAACAACAGTGTGCGGGATGCGGGAAAAAGGAACCCTCTTACACTGTTGGTGGAATGTAAACTAGTACAACCACTCTGGAAAAAAATTTGGAGGCTACTTAAAAAGCTGGACATCGATCTACCATTTGATCCAGCAATACCACTCTTGGATATACCCAAAAGACTGTGTTACTCCAGAGGCACCTGCACATCCATGTTTATTGCGGCACTATTCACAATAGCCAAGTTTATGGAAACAGCCAAGATGCCCCACCACTGACGAATGGATTAAGAAAATGTGGTATCTATACACAATGGAATTTTATGCAGCCATGAAGAAGAACGAAAATGTTATCATTTCGCTGGTAAATGGATGGAATTGGAGAACATCATTCTGAGTGAGGTTAGCCTGGCCCAAAAGACCAAAAATCGTATGTTCTCCCTCATATGTGGACATTAGATCAAGGGCAAACACAACAAGGGGATTGGACTATGAGCACATGATAAAAGCGAGAGCACACAAGGGAGGGGTGAAGGATAGGTAAGACACCTAAAAAATTAGCTAGCATTTGTTGCCCTTAACGCAGAGAAACTAAAGCAGATACCTTAAAGCAACTGAGGCAATAGGAAAAGGGGAACCAGGAACTAGAGAAAAGGTAGATCAAAAAGAATTAACCTAGAAGGTAACACCCACGACAGGAAATCAATGTGAGTCAATGCCCTGTATAGCTATCCTTATCTCAACCAGCAAAACCCCTTGTTCCTTCCTATTATTGCTTATACTCTCTCTACAACAAAAATTAGAGATAAGGGCAAAATAGTTTCTTGGGTAGGAGTGATGGGGGAGCGGGAGGGTGGAGTGGGTGGTAAGGGGGGGGTGAGGGCAGGGGGAAGAAATGGAACCAAGCCTTGTATGCACATATGAATAATAAAAGAAAAATGAAAAAAAAATATGAATAAGACTATTCTTTACTTTTTCTTCCATCAAACTTCTAGTGACTCCAATATTAATTCATATTTAACATTAGTTTGCATTGAACATTCCGTACTCACTTCTTTTTTTTTTTCCTTTTTCTTTATTATTCATATGTGCATACAGGCTTGGTTCATTTCTCCCCGCTGCCGCCCCACCCCCTCCCTTACCACCGACTCCGCCCCCTCCCTCTCCCCCGACCCCCTCAATACCGCAGGCAAGATAACTATTTTTTGCCATATTCTAATTTTGGTTGTAGAAGAGAGTAAAACAATTAACAGAAAAGACAAGAGTTTTTGCTGGGGAGATAAGAGATAGCACCCATGTTTATTGTGGGCACTTACTTCCACAATAGCCAAGTTATGGAATGGCCAGATGCCCCCACCAACCGACGAATGGATCAAGAAAATGTGTATCGTTATACACAATGGAATTTTATGGCAGCCATTGAAGAAGAACGAAATGTTATCATTCGCTGGTAAATGGATGGAAGGAGAACATCATTCTGAGTGAGGTTAGCTGGCCCAAAAGACCAAAAATCATATGTTCTCCCTCATATGTGGACTTAGATCCAAGGGCCAAACACAACAATGGGATTAGACCAAAAATCATATGTTCCCCTCATATGCGGACATTAGATCAAGGCAAACACAACAAAGGGGATTGACTATGAGCACAATGATAAAAGCGAGAGCACACAAGGGAGGTGAGGATAGGTAAGACACCTAAAAAATTAGCTAGCAATTTGTTGCCTTAACGCAGAGAACCTAAAGCAGATACCTTAAAAGCACTGAGGCCATAGGAAAAAGGGGAACAGGTAACTAGAAAGAACAAGGTGAGATCAAAAAGAATTAAACCCGTAACTCACTTCTATGATAGCAGATTAATGGCATTTGGAGAGCACCAAGAACCTTCCTTCCAGAATATTGAAATGTCGCATTCAAGATCTTCATTTGTTTCCAAAACAGTTGGAGCTTTGTGAGAAAAAAAATAAAAAAGGAAAATCCACTTATCAACTATGGGTATTTCAGTGCTAATACGGATATGGACGTTTACAATGGCCCCAAATTTTAAACATTTTATTTTGAATACAAAGAATCTATGAAAACATAAATTAAAATAATGTTCTCAAAAATGGGATCAGCTAGTGCTCTCCCAGGGAACACTGTTGTGTATGTGTTATCACTGAGCCTTTTTTGACCATATTCTGTGTTTGAGATACTAACGTACTATGTACAAAATGGGAAAAAATGAGACCCCATTTGAAGCGATTTCTAAGAATGGAGGGAGGGAAATCAGAAGAATGATGGAGGGGAATGAATTTAACTAAGATATATTGTAAACACTTTTGGCAAATGTCACAATGTACCCGCAGTACACAACATATAATAAAACTCAAAAACCAAGAGTTTTGTGAAGCCTTTTTGCTGATTTTGTTAATTGTATAAAAAAAATATCTTTTTGTGTTTTTTCAGAAGTTAGCAGGATCTAGTATTTTCTGAGAAATACTGAATTAAAGCTTGTTCAACATTATATATGACACAGGCATAATGGACACATGGAAGTTTGTGCTTATTATGCTTAAATCATATTGATCAGAGTGTCTTTTTGAAGGCCAATGTTTATTTATTTTTAAAAACAAGAGACCTTAACATTGAAATATTAATTCTTTTAAAGAGAAGATATTCTTAGTAAATGAATTATAATTGTGTATAGGAATAAAATACACATTAAATTAAGATTTTATTTTTTATTAAAATTTCTTTGTATTTTTACATTTTTAAATTATCATATTATTGTTGTACTGGGGGTACATTGTGACATTTACAAAAGTTATTACACTATATCATAGCTGAATTCACTCCCTCCATCATTCTCTTTTATCCTCTCTCCCCCATTCCTGGAAGAGTTTCACCAGGTTTCATTTTCCATTTGCATATATGAATACATAATATTTCTACCATATTCACCTTCTGCATCCTTCTCTTATATTCTCCCCCTCCACTGGTTCCAACCTCCAGACAGGACCTGTTTTTACTTTACAGGGAATTTCACTGTACCATTTCCATGTAAATATGAATTATAACCTGAATTGGTTCATCCCCTTTATTTTTTTCTCCCTTCTACCTTAGTCCCCTGCTTACAGTGATCTCAACAGGTTTAAAAATTCTATATTCATTCTTGTATAGAAAGTACATCAACCATCTTCACCTTCTTAACTTTCTTCTTTTACCCTACTTCTTCCGATAGTATCCTCCCCTTAGTGTGATAAATTAAGATTTTAACTGTTAAAACTGACTTTAAAATATTTCTGGCACATGAATGACATAAAGAGACACACATGCAAGCTCTGTAAAATTGTAAAAATAAATCATTGCTGGATTCCATATGTTCGGTCTATGACGTGTTTCCCTGGAGCCAGCCTCTTAACTGGCTAATGGATTTCCTGAACTTACAGCTCATACATAATTAATTTTAAAAATTTAAACTATATTTAATCCATAAACCTCACCATGTTCAGCAATGTGCACTTTGCTTCATTTGTTACACTTTATGATTTTGAAATTTATATAAATAGCCCTGTTTATTTATTTATTTTTATTCATTTATTCACATATGCATACATTGTTTGGGTCATTTCTCCCCACCCCCAACCTGGCCCTCACCCTCTCCTCCCCACCCCCTCTCATTTCCAGGCAGAACCTGTTCTGCCCTTATCTCTAATTTTGTTGAAGAGAAGACATAAGCATAATAAGAAAGACAAAGTGTTTTTGTTAGGTGAGTTTAGGGTAGCTATGCAGAGAGATTCCTAACTTGCTTTCATGTACAAATGTGTTACAACCCATGTTGATTCATCTCTACCTGACCTTTACACTGGTTCCTGATCCCCTTCTCCTGTTGTCCTCTGTCGCTTTAAGGTTTCTGTATTAGTTCCTCTTCAGGGGGAGCATCAAACACTTTCATGTTTTGGGTTTTCTACCTATCCACATACTTCCAGTATGTGCTCTACCCTTATCATGTGACCTAGGTCCAACCACATTGCTGTATTTGCCTAGATCTAAAGTCTACATATGAGGGAGAACATACAAATTTTGGTCTTCTGAGCCTGGCCAACCTCGCTCAGAATGAAGTTCTCCAGTTCCATCCATTTACTTGCGAATGACAAGATTTCATTCTTCTTCATGGCTGAGTAAAATTCCATTGTGTACAAGTGCCATATTTTCTTGATCCATTCGTCAGTAGTGGGGCATCTTGGCTGTTTCCATAACTTGGCTATTGTGAATAGTGCTGCAATAACATGGGTGTGCAGGTGTCTCTGGAGTAATCTGTGTCACATTCTTTTGGGTATATCCCCAAGAGTGGGATTGCTGGATCATATGGCAGATCTATGTTTGGATTTTTAAGAAGCCCCCCAATTTTTTTCCAGAGTGGTTGCACTAGTTTGCATTCCCACCAGCAGTGTAGGAGGGTTTCTTTTTCCCCACATCATTGCCAATACCTGTTGGTGGTGTTTTTGATGACGGCTATTCTAACAGGGGTGAGGTGGAATCTAAGTGTGGTTTTGATTTGCATTTCCTTTATGGCTAGAGATGGTGAGAATTTTTTCATGTTTTTTTTGGCCATTTGAATTTCTTCTTTTGAGAAAGTTCTGTTTAGTTCAGTTGCCCATTTCTTTATCAGTTCATTGATTTTGGGAAAGTTTAGTTTCTTAAGTTTCCTGTATATTCTTCTGGTTATCAGTCTTTTGTCTGATGTATAGCTGGCAAATATTTTCTCCCACTCTGTGTGTGGTCTCTTCACTTTAGAGGCCATTCCTTTTGTTGTGCAGAAGCTTTTTAATTTTATGAAGTCTCATTTGTCCATCCTTTCTCTTAGTTGCTGGGCTGCTGGGGTTCTATTGAGGAAGTCCTTGCCTATGCCTATTACTTCCAGAGTGTTTCCTGCTCCTTCCTGTACTAACTTCAGACTTTCAGGTCTGATATTAAGATCCTTGATCCATTTTGAGTTGATACTAGTACAGGGTGATAAACATGGATCTAGTTTCAGTTTTTTGCAGATGGACAACCACTTTTCCCAGCAACATTTTTGAAGAGGCTGTCTTTTCTCCATCGTATATTTTTGGCAACTTTGTCAAAAATAAGGTGGGTATAGTTGTGTAGATTCATATCCGGGTCCTCTATTCTGTTCCACTGGTCTTCATGTCTGTTTTTGTGCCAGTACCATGCTGTTTTTATTGCTATTGCTTTGTAATATAGTTTGAAGTCAGGTATTGTGATACTTCTAGCATTGCTCTTTTTGCTGAGTATTGCCTTGGCTATTCGCAGTCTCTTGTGTTTCCAAACGCACTTTAGGGTAGGTTTTTCAATCTCTGTGGTGAAAGTCATTGGGCTTTTGATTGGAATTGCATTAAACGTGTAGATTGCTTTTGGAAGTATAGCCATTTTTCTGTTTATTTTTTCTTCTTATAATTATAGAATCCCGATGCAGGAATGTGAAATGACCAGTGTGTTTTTCTACCCTGATATTGATGATAATTGGGTTAGTTTGTTTTTTCATTTTACCATTACAAAAACCTCTGTTGCTATGAAAATCCTGTATCTGTCTTCTTATGAATATGTGCATCATTCAGAATAGTCCATGATGTACTATAGTAACAATCTCCAATTCTCAATTATCACAACAAAAGTTTCTCTCTCACCTAGGCTACAAATTCATCAAGTATCTTTGGTGGGAGGGTGTGCAGACTCTTCCACATCAAACTAAGGATCCTAAGAGGAAAGGTGTTTCCTCCAACTGGTAGCAGCATTGTCTGTATTATCTCTTATAGTTTGCAGAAGCAGGTGAGGAATTCCTACCTGTTTTTAAATGCCTTGAGTCTAAGCTACCTGCTTTTAGATTCTTATGTCCTCTTGCACGAGAGACAGGCTGCAAATCTTTAACACAGGAAGGAGAGTTTCTCTGAGATTCTTTTTTTTTTTTTCATTTTCTTTTATTATTCATATGTGCATACAAGGCTTGGTTCATTTCTCCCCCCTGCCCCCAACCCCTCCCTTACCACCCACTCCGCCCCCTCCCTCTCCCCCCCCTCAATGCCCAGCAGAAACTATTTTGCCCTTATCTCTAATTTTGTTGAAGAGAGAGTATAAGCAATAATAGGAAGGAACAAGGGTTTTTGCTGGTTGAGATAAGGATAGCTATACAGGGCATTGACTCACATTAATTTCCTGTGTGTGGGTGTTACCTTCTAGGTTAATTCTTTTTGATCTCACCTTTTCTCTAGTTCCTGGTCCCCTTTTCCTATTGGCCTCTCTGAGATTCTTACCATGCTGGCTTATGCACATCTTCAACTTTCAGATTAAATTTCTCAATTTTATACAATTTAGAAGTTATGTAATATTGGATAGATATTGTCTTTGCTACATAGTGCTGTCAAAACTTTTTATTGTTCTATTTTCTAACTTTTGCCAATCTGGTGAGTGTGAAATGATGTCTCATGTAGCTTCAACATACAGTTTTCTGATGTTAGTGAAAGTATGAGTGTCTCTGTGTGTTTATTCTTGATCTGTGTTTTGTGTTTTATAAAATTTCTGTCTATGTCTTTTGCTATTTTCCAGATTTTTGGTCTTTTTCATATTTAGTGAAAGGAAAACATTACATATTCTGGAATTCATTATTTTCTAGTTTTATTATAAACATTTTCCAAAACATTTGCCTTAAATTTTCACTATTATACATTGTCTTTTGATAAAAAGAATTCCTTGGTTTTAACATACATATATATATAGATATGCTTATATATGTACATGTATATTCATATATAGATATAGTGTGTTTGCTTGTTTTGCGTAAGCTGTTCTCTCTTCCAGCATTATAAAGCTCTTCTATATTGACTTCTAAAAGTTGTTTTTTATTGTTTTATTATTCATATGTGCATACAAGGCTTGGGTCATTTCTCCCCCCTGCCCCCACCCCCTGACTTCTAAAAGTTTTATAGACTTCTTTTCTTTTTCAAGTTCTTTACCTACAATTGACTGTTTCAGTGTGAGATAAATTCATTTTGTTCTTTATGGAGACACCATCTTCCCAGCAACTCCCCATGGTGATCTACGATCTGCAAATTCCTCTCAATTGTAGATGAGTGCTCGTGTGTATGTGCGAATTTCCCTGGGTTCTCTCTTTTATTTGTCTATATGTACCAATAACCAAATTGTTTTAAGTTCTCATAGCTTCATTTTTTAAAAAAGAGCATCTCAGCTATTCTGCACCCCCTTTAAAGGTAAATTTTGGAATAAATATGTCAACTTATGTGAAAAAGTCTATTATGACTTTTATTAGTTTACAGTATTTCAATAGGCACAGAATTCACCCACATAGTAGGCAGAATTCTAAAAATGACACCCACTATGACTCTTCCCCTCACCTGGTCCTCTCTCCTTTAAGTGTGAGTGGAACTGATTATGGTTTATCACTCCATGATTATATTGTAAAGTACAATATACCTCAGAGGAGGAGATGATCCAAGTGGGCCTAATGTCATCACATGAGTGCTTTAAAAGCAGGGATTTTCTCTAGCTGGTACCAGAAGGGCAGGTCAGAGAGACTTAAAACAAGAAAAAGATTCACTGTGCCACTGCTGACTTTGAAGATGGAGCAATCCATGGTCAAGAACTGGACAGTGGGTGTAATAGCTACCAAGAGTGACTGTAGCTGATAGTCAGCAAAGCAACAAAGGATCTCAGTCTTACAGTTTTAAGGAGCTGAATTCTATCAACATGAATGAGCTTGGAAGTGGATTCTTCACAGGAACCTCAAGATAAGAGTTCAATGTAGACAGTGCCTTCATTTTGGCATGTGAGATACTCAGCAGAGAAGCATTGAGCTCACTTGGATTTCTCCCTTACAGAATTGTGAGTCAACATGTGTTGCTTTAGGCCATGCAGTGTGTGATAATTTGTTACACAGCAATAGAGGACACAAGCCATCAAAGTCCCAAGAAATGTGGCATGTCATCCATTTGTTCTGGTCTTGAATAAAGTTTTATACTTTTTTCTGTAAGACTGATCTTATCTTTCCTAGAAATTTTTTCTCCAAGAGAAAAAATTAGTTGCTATTATTTAATGTATTATTTAGTTAGTTGATAATATGATTTAAAATCACATTTTCCAGCTAAATATTGCTAGTATTTCTTATCTTCTATGGCATTGTTTTTTATTCTTATATTTTTATTCCATCTCCTATTATTTAACATTTTAGATGTGCATATTATATATTTGCAGTTTTATAATTGGGTTAGGAATGATGTATTCATCTTGGTTGATTCCCCAAACTCTCTGTCTTGTCTTTGCATATTGGAAAGTAAGTTTATATTAAAAGATATTCTATCTTTGTGACCTGCATTGAGGCTGCACGTTTCTAGAGAGTATGTAAAATCTTTCTGCTAGGCACCCCAGTGTCTGACCAACCAAGGAACACTTTATTTATATTTCTAGTTGGGATTTCCAAACTGATGGGCACACTAGTAAAGAACTCCAAACCCAGGAGAAAGTATACTGAGACCTATCATTTCTCAGAGAAGAATTCTTTTTATCATCCAGAACCCAAGGGAAGATAAACAAGTTTCCTTTTGTTTATCTTCTGTCAACAGGCGATCATTTTCCTGTCTACTCTTCCACTGAGTATGTAATCTCTCCAGATTCAAAATTAATGTAGAAACACCATCTTGCTAAAACCTAAGAGTTCCTCATCTGTTCCTATGTAGCTACTAAAACTCAAATCTCTTGGTTGCTGAGACTGGAGGTTACTATCAATACTAACTATAACCTCTTACTCCACAGTGGTACCCTCTTCACTATAGACCTTTGATAATTTCTTTTACTTTTATATTATCATAAGCATTTAAAGAGAGGTTTGCTGTATTTAATATATAAACAACTTCATTTTACCTTAACAATCAAATATTACAGCTGTTTATTTCATATAATATATATGTATATGTACATACATGTGTGTAAATGTAAATATATACATATATAAGTAAATGTCTATATATATGTGTGTGTATACATATATATATGTTAGTATACTCAGAAATGAATATCCATTTTTATAGGGATTGTCTAATTTTACATACTAACAGCTATTCCCACAAATGACTAAAGAAAGAATTGAAGTAAAATATAGTAGAATTATATAGTTGGAACGTTACCTGTATGATCCTTGTGTTCCTTCTTCATTGGAATCTTTTGTCCCAACAAGAATTTCAGGTGATAGGAATATGTGCCTGTAAAAATGACCCTTACTATTTCATCAGGATAATGTGCTGTTAATTCTTTAATACTTTCTTCATCTGGCAGTCCCAAAACTTTTTTACCTGCCAATCAGAGAAGGAAATATTATTGTGAATCAATTACTTGAGAGAAACAGTTTACTAGAGTTCCTTATGTAAAAAGAAATGTACTCAAGTATTGGCTTTGAATAAGTTAGGCAATCCAAAAGGTTGGAAGAGATATTTCTACAGTTCTATATAGACAGTGACAGATGGAACACGTGAAAACTGGTTATTTTATATTTATATGTTGCAATTATTTAGCCAATTTCAATAATACAAAATATATACTATGCCAATTAAATTATTCACAAAAGGATTAGTATTCCAATAAATCTAAAATGGTAGTTATATACATATATATTTAAACTTCAATTCAGCACTGATTTACAGTAGGTGGAAATAGTTATACAACATTATTTCCTTTTACAAACCTTGAAGGTGTGGTTAATAAGTTCAAAAAAGAATGGAAGTTTTCAAAATATGTAGGGTGCCTATGTTGACATCACTAAAAGAATCCCACTTTTCTGAGATATCATGTTCAATACCATCTTGACTGAAAGAATGAGAAAGAATGCAACACAAGTCCTGGGTTAGGATGGAAGTGTTGAAGATGGAGGTGGAGGGAGCAGGTAGCTTGTGTTTTCATAGAATTAAATTTTATTCTGGAGTCTACTCCTCACATTTGTATGATCATGAGTAAGTCACTTACTCTTTTTCAACTTGATATCTATGTTTATAAACTGGTGTTAATAAGATCTATTATTATAGGATGTTAAGAGTATAAAATAATATAATACAGAAGAATATTATTACAAAATAATATTCTACTACTATAGGATAATGTACTTGCAAAAATCTAGCATATGGTACCATCATTATTCCATGTTCCTTTGATGAAGGTGCTGTTGAGAAATACAAGTTTATGACATTAGGTCCTTCAAGAGGACAGCTATGAAAAAAATTGAAAGCAAACACATCTCAGGACAGGCTGAGAGATGGGCTTTACTTAGGTTTGCAGCTCAGCTCAGAGTCTGATCCTGAATCAGAAATGAATTCTGTGTTGTTAGGTAAGATGGAACAGTGTAGACATTCAGATTCAGGCATCAGTAGTGGTGAGGTGGTTGGGGAGGGACTATGGGAGGGCAAGTTTGGAACAGTTCACATATACTTGGCTTGGCAGTGTGCAGTGAAGCATGGGCAGGAAGGAAAACCCTAACACGGTCAGGAAACTCAGGGCACAGGGACTCCTAATAACAGGAGTCTGAACATCAATTATGAAAAGTGTGGACTACTGAATAGTGATTTCAGTCAAGAGGTCAGAATCCAAGCACAAAAGTAATGGTTGCCTGGACTGGAGGTGAATTATGGACAGAGGTTGACAAAGAAAGTGAAGAGAGGTACTGTAGATTTCTGCTGCTTTAAAACAAAACATCCTCCCTCTCTCCTTTCTTTCTTCCTTTCTTCCTCCCTCCCTCTCTTCTTTCCTTCCTTCCTTCCTTCTCTTTCTTTCTTTCCCTCCCTTCCTCCCTTCTGTCTCTCTCTTTATATAAAATCTTTCTGCATTACTGAGCATTGAACTCAGAGCCTCCTGTTTGTTAGTCATCTGTTACTTGAGCCACACCCCCAGCCCTCTTTGTTTTTGAGATGGTTCTTGCTAATTTTTCCCTGAGCTGAACTTGAACTTGCAAACCTCCTGCTTTTAATCAAATGTCCTCTGACTCTTAAGTCCAGTTTTTTTGGCCTCTGTGCCAGGCCACTTCTCTAATTTCAGTAAATTGCCACAGAAATTACCTTGACAGTGATCATTTTCTTCTTATTTGTCATTGATAAGTACCTTTAACACTGAAGGGCGAGAATCTGAAACAGAATACTCAATAGACTACTTAAATATAGTAAGGAAATCTTTGTGGTGTTAAAGGGTAAGGATAAAATTCTTATAGTGAAGAAATTAAGAAAAAACTGCTCTTTGTCTAAATAGCAGGCTAACAGTAGAGCAACTATCTCATTCTAGTAAGAATGTTTTTCATGGCTGCATGCCAAAAAACAAAAACAAAAACAAAAACAAACCATCCCTAAACACTCCTGCTCTTCAAAGAACACCAATATATATGTTTTCCCTGCTTCCCTAAACCCTGCAGGAGATCAGCAGGTTTTGTTTCTTTGACTGATCATGTGCCCCAAATAGTAATCTCTTGATTCACAAGCAACTTACTCAATTTTGAGTTAGATGTTCTTTCCAACAAAAAAAAGGTATATTCAAATTTCGTACTCCAGAAATTTTGATAAATGACATGATTTTATCAACTGATATGAAAATTAAATATATGCATCCGTGGTCAAATGAACCAAATATTGACATTAGATGTTCCTCTTGGGTTGCTAGAAAACTCACCTGTCATGAAGGAGGTATTGGCTACTTTATTCATTATCTTGTGGGTTACATTGGTGACAGGAGCATATGCAATTGTAAATTTAGATCCATTAAATGAATCTACTCTTCCCAGATCCATGTTATGCAGTGAAGAAAAATCATTAACTTGGTGACCATTAGGATACAGGTATAATAAAAGCAGAAGGAACAATGAGTTCATCCATTCCTACACAATCCAAGAAAAAGACTAAAGTTACGATTTCAAATTATTCATGCACAACCATGTTGTCACAGAGGTTTATCTCTTGGTTCCTATTTAAAATTTCAATACATCCCACAGATGAACCATTTAAAATATTATGGTACAAACTCAGCAATCTAATTTCAACCAACTATTAATAGGAATTCAAATGTATTGAGCCAAAGTACTGGTGCTAAGGCATGCACTGATTGCCAGAAAATATGAAATCCAACAGGAAAAGTGGTTTGAAATTATGACCAGCTCATGTTGCTTTGGTGACCCACTCATGAGTATTTGATTCTGCTGAAAGCCTATGTGTTGAAAGATGGCTCTAAGGCATTGCTCACTTAGTAGTGATGCAGTAACTGTTTGCCAAGATTCCGGACTTGAACCAAACTCAATATAATTCCAGCAATCTGAAGAATACTATCTTGGGTTGTTAATTATAAATCCTGATCACTTGTAAACTCCCAGTAAGAAATCAGTTTATTTTCAAAATGAATAATCTTAGAAAAAATTCATGATGCATATATAGTATAATTCACATTTAGTTAACAAACAAACTAAAAATGCTACCCAGGCCAGATACGCTAGCACGTGTTTGCAATCCTAACACTTGGGAGACAGAGGCAGGAGGATCATGAGTTTGAGACCAGCCTGGACTCAAAACAAAACAAAAAACCAAATGCTACCCAGCCATATCTATCTGACCTAAAAAAAAAAAAAAAACTATCAAAGCTCAAACAGACTTTTTGTTGCATGGTAAGATTATAAACTAAAGCTGATTTTCTTCTTGGCACTGAATACATTTGAAGTCTTTCTATTTTAAAAAGAGAAAAATTAAAAGAGAAAATGCAGGTTGCCTATTTCTTCCTGCTGCTTTGTTTATCCTATCTTTAGAAGGTCACTACCTTAACCCTAGTGTCTATGAGTGGGAACACTATTAAAAATATGACCGTTGGCTTTTAGTGTATTTATTTATGACAAAATTTAGTGCTTTTAGACCTCCACTGATAAGTCTTTGCCATTTTTAACAGATTCATAGTCTCGTAAACAGCTGCTTCTGCTATATAAAGAATTTACTTATTTAGTCTTGGTGTGTGGGGAGATATCCAAAAATGTATATCCTCAGGAAATATGCATTTTCCTATTACAAATCCAAAGGGACATAAATATTGAATCATACCATTAAGGTCTCTCTTTTCATTCTCCATTTCTTAAGAAGGTTCTTGTGTAGTAAAGCCCGAGTTTGTTGATACACACTTACTTCTTTCTTACTCATGTTGCCCTGTTTAATGAGAAAGAAGGGGAGAAAATAAAGTGAACATGAAGTTTCCTAATAAGAAGAAATACCTTGTAAACAAAAAAGACTACCATGCAAACTCCGTTTTCAGTCAATGTCTAGGATCTGAGTATTCCCAAGTAACCATTTTATCATGCCCATTCTGTCCTTTCTCCAGTCTCAGACTCGTTCCATCATCTGTGTGGGATGCCCTCTGCCCATTACTGACTTTCAGCTTCAAATTCACACTTCATATAGCCTGCTCTATGAAAATGGATCTGAGCCTTTATTGATTGGTTTTTTCCTTTCTGTCATGGTGCTGAGTTTTGTCAGTAGAAGACTTTTTTTAGTCTCTTTCTAATGCTATTACAATACCTAAGGCTGAGTACTTTGAAAGTGTAGAGGTTGATTTGGTTCACAATTCCGGTGACCAGAGGGTCCAAACAGCATGGTGCCGGTGTCCTTTGGTGAGGCTACCCTGGCTGCATCACAGTGTGGTGGAGAGTGGGAATCCCTTTCTGATTGCGTACAGAAAGTGCCAAGCACGTGAGGTGAACTTGCTTTATAAAACAACTTGTTCTCATGAAAGCTAGCTCACTTCACAGGACTAGCATTAATCCCTTCCAGCACTGTACCCTGGATGACTTAACGCGTACTCTGGAGCTGGGCGAATGATCACATGCCGCTGATTGCATCAGTAGCCCCAATTCTTCTCTGCTTGTGTTCATGAGACCCTTTGGGAACTTTGGGGTTCCTTCCATAAAGATAGACTATTCCTTTGACCAATAGAAGGAGATGGGCGTGGTGGTGTGTTAGATGGGAAGCCTTGGGTGAATCTGCTTGCTCTCTTGTGTCTCTACTATTTCTGTAAGAGCGAAGATGGGCCAACCTGCGGGTGGATGAAAGGCACGTGAAACAGAACTGAGTTGTCCCAGCCATCTAGTGGAAGGCCTAGTCAGTTATTTCCCAGAGACATGACCAAGCCCATTCAAGGCTAACAGCCTCCTGGGAGTCACCCCAGGCATCTCAGCTATAAATGCCTATATGTATGTGTGCATTATTGCTTTTCTCATGCAACATAAATGTAGCTATAGACTACAGACATAAGTTGCCCTTTTAGCTTCCATGACATTAATGTTTCTTTAGTTTGAGCGACTTTATTTTTGACTTTTAACAATTGTGATCACTAAAATGACTTTTCTGTAAGAGATTGTGTCTTTGGAATTCCTTAAGACTTATTTTAATAGTTGGAAAGGCTCCCTGTGAAATTGAAACACACGCATGTCACCACTTAAGCATTTTTGTACGTCTATCCCATCTTGTAAGTTGTTTCTTCAAACCTTCAGCATCCTTTCTAATGTTATAAGATCATTCCATTTATGATAGAATTCTATTAAAATTTCCCACTCTAAAAATAGGTTTGGCAATTTCTTCTTACACCTTTGTTAGTTTTTAGCATGTGCACTTAAAGGCTAAGTGGTTAGATGATAAAATATTGCTCGACTGCTTATTTTTTAACTGCAGCTTGCTTGTCTTTCTGAAAGTAACATGGAGACTCTAGGTGTCATTAGGTTAATGTCTATCTCATACACCTTTATTTATTTCTTTATTTTTAAACTTTGGCTGACTTTATAAATATTTGATTGGTGTTTGAAAAATTCCTAACTGCTTGTGTGTTTGGAAATCTCAACTGACAGATAACTATATTTTAAGAAGAGAATTAAATGATCTATGAATTTTTGCTTTAGTTATTTCCTCATGTTTCATTCTCATATTAAGCCTACTTTTTCCCTGCTTCTACTTTTGTCTCTGTTTTTATTTTACTGCTTATATTCTTGTTCAATTGGTGATGATTTCTTCTCTTCCCCTGTTTACTGTCCTGTCCCAAAGATATAAAAATTATTTATATTTCTTTAATGGTTACTATTGAATTTTCGACTAAGAACTATAATTTATTTTATGAAAACTTAACATTATTTATCATCACTCTCTTCTTCTTACAAATGCATGTGTGTTTTAACTTTGCTGAACTCCAACCCAGTCATCCTGGTTATTATTATATAAGAATGTGGTTTATCTCTTAAAGTGTATGTTTATGTTTATCAGCAGCAGTCATTAGACTTGGCAGTCGATTATGTGGCTTCTGTGCAAAGCTGTGATGTATGTGGGATTGTGCTTGTGATAGAAAGTGGCAACTCCACCTGCATGGGTTTGGATTGGCTTCAGCTGGATTAGGAACCCACAACTCTTGGTCCTGTGTGTGGGCTGGTTCCCTTTGAAAACACCCCAGGGATTTTTACCTAAAATTGCCTGCAGAGAGCAGTGCCGCTCTTCCATGGATGTGGCACCAGCCACTAGGGAGCAGAATAGTAGTAGACTGGCCCTTTTCTGATAGAAGCAGGGACCCACAATGGCTGCATATTCAGCATTGAGTGAAGAACATGGGTATGAGTGTGCATGAGTGTGTTTGAGTGTGTGTGCATATGTGTGTGCAGATGTTTTAGTACAGGAATTTATACATGCATTTAACTATGGCAGAGACACAAAATACTTCCCAGATGTGTCAGTGCATAGCAATAATGCCACATCTTCACAGCCCCAACCGATCAATACTACACAATACGTTTTGCTGAGCCTCTCCTAGAAACTGTGGGATGTGTGTACTCTCTACAGGTTTTACCTATGGGAGGAAATAAGCTGAATTACAGAAAGGAAAGAGATTCCGGAATGCTCACCACTTTTCTGGGAAGCATGCCAAGCCCATGACTTGGAAGAATGGTTTGACCACAAACCCTGTGATTCCCTCCAAAAGACTGTCAGTTGGCTCTGAAGTCCTGATCTGAAGCAAGTAGTCTCCCCACTCTAGGCAAATGACATGATTTGTCCGGGTGGATACCTTACGGTCTCTGCAAACTTATCCATAGTGATGAGGAGTGGGTATATTCTCACTTGAAGCTCTCATCTCATTCACAGGACAGGATCATGCACAGTGAGTTCTATTTCCTAGGGTCAAAACTCAGGTGGGGAATCCAGGGGCCAGTTCAATGGGAGACTCATTGGACCAGGCAGGCTCAGAGGTACTAGCAGAGGAGAAACCTGCAAATGGCTGTGTAGTGAGGCTGCTGAGAAGTGCATCTAGCAGATGGAAAAAAGGAGGGGAGAAGCCTTGGAATGAGAGGAAGAGGGGAAGGTGATTCTAGGGATGAAACAGCACTAAGTCAAAATGTTCAGTGAGAGAAGGTTGTGAATTCCCATGGGTTATTCATTATGTAGAGAATTTAGAGTGGGCACTTTTACAGGGACTATGCAGAGGTGTAGAGGAGGGTGAGCCAGCCAAGACAGAGATCCCTCAGTATAGAATCAGTCAAAGCCCTAAGTGGCACAGAAACTTAAATCTGACTCCAACCCCTTAGATTTTCTAATGTAAATGAGTATGCTACCAGTATATACCAACTAGTATATGTTCTGTAGTTGTAAAAAGATATAACACAAATTCCTTATTATACATATGGCAAATAATTTCCAGTTGGAATGTCTCATTTTTCTCTTCTCATGCTGGTTGTTAAACTCAGAATAAAGTATTTACATTATAGGAGCATAAAACTTCTGTTTTTCATAAGCAATGTGCATTTGAAAAAATATTGTGATAAAGAAAAGCTACATATTTTGCATTCTGATTCAACCCATGGTATCCAGATAGTCAAAGATCTTGGAAAGCATCTAACATTTCTAAAATTCTTATGGCCTGATAGTGACAGGAGGGGACCATAGAAATATTTCTTAAATGTTCTTGGTAAGCAGTCTCAAAGTTAGAAAAGCAGCTATCCAAAATTGCCTGCAAATTATTATGCAATCGAAGCAAATAATTATGACTTCAAAAACAACACAGGCTTACAAATAGATTTTCAAGATTCTAAGTTCTTCACAATCAATTTGTTAGTTAATTTCACTTTATTTCTAATGCTTACAACAAATGGTAGTGTGTACTTTTTAAAAAACATATTCTAGTTTTTTCCTCTGCTTATGTAATATTAAACATCAGACAAAAGTACTTAAAAATAGTCCATTAGTTTTCAAAGTAATTTCAGCACAGATAGTTAACATTCAGCTCACAAAATTTTATAATCTTGTGATAGGAGAAAAGTTAAAAAAAATCCTCAAAATAAAAAAACAAACAACCTCACCCCCCAAACAACACACACACACACACACACACACACACACACACACACACACACACACATGCACACTGAACTTACTTTGAAGAAATTTGGAGCAAGGAATTTAAAAACAGTTTGTCCACTGCTCTCCGTGTTTAGAAGAAAACGATTCACAGTTTTTCTACCACATCTCCCAAATTTGCCTTAATTGTTTGATTTCTGTGAACAGGTCCCGTGATGACTGCTTCCCAAAGGGAGTTATGATCTCAATCTTGTTAGTCTGCCAAACATCACATTCACGTGATCACTCTTGGACTGTTTGTCTTTTCATTGATATTCAGCCAGTCCCTGCAAAGCAGGGGCATTTATATTTGACTGCCTGGCTGTATCATAGTATAAAGTGCAATCTTACAGAGGAAATCCAATACCACTAAGCATTCCATATGACAAGGGCTAATTTCATCATTTAAAGCACCACCTTTAAACCATAAGAAGATAAACAGCTTAATTAGAGAAAAATCTCTCCACCCAGAACTCCAGACTGTTTAACTGGTGTCTTCACATAGATAAGCAAGATTTTTGTTCTTCTGTTTTCCAGCTTTATTTTCATTCATTTCTTATTTCCCTTGAGACTTATTCTTTGACCCCTGACTTGTATAGAAGTGTGTTGTTTAATTTCCAAATGTCTGAAGATTTTCTTGTTACCGTCTATTGATTTCTAGCTTAACTCTATTATGGTGAGAAATCATTTTGTATGACAAATTGGTTGAGGCTTTGTGACACAGGGTATGCTCTACCTTAGGGAATGTTCCATGTGCACTTGAAAAGATGCTTTGCTGCTGTTTAATTTGCTGGGGAGGGAGTGTATCAGGCCAACAACCTTGGTTATAATGAGAGTTGAAAGCATTTTAGAATCTACTACTTGCACTTTTGTCAGTTTGATCTGTTACCAAAGTTATTGCTAGTAGAATGTAGGCTTGATTACATTTCTGTATTATTATTATTATTTTGCAGTACTGGGGCTTGAACTCAGAGCCTACACCTTGAGCCACTCCACTACTTCTTTTTTGTATTGGGTATTTTCTAGATAGGGTCTCACGAGCTATTCACGCTATTCACCTGGGCTGACTTTGAACCGTGATCCTCTGATCTCTGCCTCCTAAGTAGTTAGGATTACAGGTCCCCAGCAACATTTCTGTATTTTTTAAACTAGGTCAGCTGCTGATCTAAGAAAAATGCTTCAAATATGTAAAATTTATGACACTTTTCAAGATTGTTTTAAAGAAATTTATTTTAAAGCCTTTGATCTCCTGCCACAATTATCTATTTGCGTATACAAATATATAGATTTGGAAATACAATAGAAAAAGGAGTGAGTAAATTTATAAAAATGAAAAGTCTACACATCAAAATGCATGCTCATGTATATTATCATGTGTTGGGTAGTTTATCAATTTTTTTTGTAGCAGATATACTATGTAATCAAGTTTTGGTGCTCTTCAAATCAACCAAACAAAAACTCATGAGAAACACACTTGAAACGGTTCCAAATTTAGAATTTATTTAAAATGTTCACTAATTTAGTCATTTGAACTCTTTTTTTTACAAAATAATTAATACTTATTTTAAAGTTTTATTACCTCAGTAAGTTGAATTCTCCATTTTACAAAAGTTAACCAATTTCCAGAACAGTGAAAATTCATATACCTCAGTCTGGATTCAGAAATAACCTACAACCAAAGGAGCAACTCAGTAAGTTAAATAATTTTTTTTTACGCATTCAAGATGAACCACAAAAGCAAACAGTGATGTTGTGACTCACTTTTCTAACCTCAATCTCTATGTTAACTTTGTTTAAGCCAATAAAAATAAGAAAACAATTAGCAGAAAGTTTAGAGAGAAATTAAAAATAAAGTCTGTCTAACTAAGAATTTTAAACTTCCTATTCAGGTAACTAAAGAAATTAGTAATATATACTGAAATGGAACTCAATCTGTCCATATACCTATCAGCTATTATCTATACATAATATTTAAAAATCCTTCTTTAATCTATCTATCTAATCTTGTCACCCAACATCTATCACCTATCTATAATTTATTATCTTTCTACATATCATCACCTATGTATCATCTATCTTTTGTGATGTAAGCGTGATCTCCCCATCATCTGTCACTACCTATGTATTGTCCACCAATGTCTCTCTCTCTCTCTCTCACTGTCCACCTCTCTGTCTTGGCTGACAGTGGATGGCCTCAGTCAATGCTTTCACTGTTCTCCAGCCCTTGCTGTTTTTCCTCTGGCATGAAGACTCATCTTATCACTTCTGTATAAAATTATAACATGGGTTGCACAATAGCTTATTCCAAATAACAGGTATGACAATTAAATATCAAGGCATAATATTAAAGCTATAAAAATAATTCTCTTTTTGAATAGCACAGACTTAACCACTGCCATAGGGTTTGTGGCTTACTTTCCATTTCGCAAAGAGCTCAAGTTCCTCATCAAAACCATAGGAAGACCTGAGAGGGGGAGGGAGAGAGAGAGAGAGAGAGAGAGAGAGAGAGAGAGAAAGATCACACTGCCCCACTGTGAGTGCAAAGACAAGCTTGTTAATCTTTACTTATTCGCATGAAAATACAGGATCCCCAAGGCAGAACCCTTCTGCTCCAGGGTGGCCTGTACCAGGCTTTACTCCCCTAGGTTGAACTTATTTTAAAGGTTCATAAATTTTTATATTCACATGTTCTGAAAAACTGACATGAAGTAGAAAGAATAAATACTGAAGAATCTTAAATGGCAAAAGTAACAAACATCCACGGACTTAGTTTGTCATAATGGTAAAATACACCAGTGCATTTGCTTATGATCAAGAAAAGAAAATGCTTCCACACCAACACTGCACAGTTTATCATGTTGAACTTAAAGAGAAGAAAGAATGCGTAGGAGGCTCTTTGGCTGGACAGGGTCCATAGGAAAGCACAGTCAGCACAGCAGCTGGAAGTTGTGGGAGGAAGAGACATTTGAACAGGGAGGCAGCAGACATTTTCATAGGAAGACATCAGCGGTCTCTTAGCGAACAGACAGGCTGCAGGCTTCTTTCCTGAATTCTACCATTTCCAGTTCTTCTACAATGGATTTGATTTCTTTGTATCCCCTGACAGCCTACACTGCTTGAAATTAACTCCTTGTGTGGCTCAGGCAGCCTCACCAGCTCCTACTTCATACAGCCCTGTGTTACTTCCTTCAGTGTTTGTACTCACAGTTGAAATTGTTCTGCTGTGGAGTGCAGGGTGTGCCCCAGAAGCACATCCACATCAAGTATGTTTCCTTGCAGGAAGAGATATGAACTGTATACTCCTGGCAGAGGAGAGAGGGGGAATTGCCCATCCCCAGGATAAGCGGGGTCTTCTTTAATTGCACTCACTACCATACCTCCATATCCACCTACAGCTTCCCGTGGCCTTCTATGTTTTGGGTATTGCCATGAAACAGCAGAGTGCACTCTGCCCTGGTGTCCACCAGAGCCCATGAGTTCTATACATTAATAGGCAACCAATATATTCACAGTTCAACATGGGGCCTTCCAGTTGCCCTGTATGGTGGCTCTTACTTGAGAAGACTGGGAGTATGCAGGAATTTAACATCTAATTCTGTTCAAGAATGCTCAGTATTCATAATTCATGGCCTAAAATATATTATGTTTGAAAATCAAAAGCACTAGACTCCAGTTCCAATCAATTTCATGGATTTGTGAGGTAGAAATGCTGATCCGCAATGCTTATTTGTTGTGCTTCTGTGATGTGCTAATATTAAGTAATGAGTTATTTTGTGTAGTTGTGGTAGATATTTTGTGTAATTATGGTAGAAATAAAGATATTTCACCTAATTCTCCATTCAGGGAAGAAATTTCCACTCAGCTCAGGAGTGTGGGGAGTAGAAAGTCTACAGCTGTCGGTGACTTCAGGATCCTCCTTAGCTGCAGAGACTTGGAATCAGAAATTTGGTATCAGAAATGGTCCAAGAAAGCCAATGTTGAGATAATTTATTTTTTTCTGTACTGGGGTTTGAATAAATTCAGACCTAAAGGGTCTGGCAGTTTCTAGGCAGGCTCTCTACCACTTGAGTCACACTCCATCCCTGAGATTGGGTTTTGAAGTTGGACTACTCACTTCTTGCCTGGGAGTGAGAAACCTGTCATGATAGGGATCCATAGTCCATGAATAAGGTAGTGGTGGTCTGATGATTACAGCTTGCACTGCTGAAGAACTAGAACATGTGCTGCAGGAAGGGAACACACCAGCAGGCCCCAATGTATCAAGCATTTGAAACTTATGAAGGGAACAATTGATATAAGAATGTAGATATATGATGGCTTTTGCTAAACTATACCTGAAGCCCAGAAATAGACAACTGAACACCAAGTGTGAAAGCTACAAGGATCCTTCAGTTTGTAACATGTAGCCCATGTCCTACAATAGAGAGAACAGAAAACCAAGTCTATGGTAGAATAGTCTGAGGGCTGAACTTGTAAGAAGGTTGGCTACCAGTCATGGCAGGTCTGTGATGCCATGGTGACTCTAGTTGGTATAAGGTGAGACTTTGAAGTGTGGAAGGGACACATTTGGGTAGGAATTCCTAACAAACGTTTAGTTTCCAAATCCTTTCACCCTTCTGAGTTTGCAGATATGGCCCACCCTACCCTATCAGATGAAAGACAACCTAGAAACCTCTATCCTGGGAAGCAATAGCTTCCTCCCTCAAGATTTGCTCCCATCTCTTGTCTTGGCCAATAGGCTATAACTACGTTTGAGTCACAGTATTACATGGCCAGGGACATTCTGGAAAGGAGCTATACCCCAAAGAACCGGTAATATCTACAAAAACCTGTACCAGTAAGGGCTGCAGAAGTGCATATGAGACTAGACTCTGAACAGAACATAAACACAAAAAGGAAGAGACGATGTAAGGTATGTATGACTTACGGAGATAATTAGCAATGGGCTATGCACCAAGGGCACCTATTGAAAAGTCAGAGAGGGACAAATTTCAGTGGGGATGGAAATACAGGCAAGTCAATGTACTTTTGAGCCTTGAAGTATGTAATTCTCTTTTTATAATCTAAATTCTCCAGACACTTGGCAAGAAAGTTTGAAAACATTGCGCAAAAATAAACAACTGTTGAGCACACTGAGCTACTCAAACAAGAATGAATAGAGTAAGATACCACTTCCATGACTGAAGATGAATTGATAAAGAGGGTGAGAAGACTGAATGGAGTGATATGTATATTTTTGCTCAACTCTTTGCCTTTTTTTCAGGACATAGCCTTATATAACCTCTTCAAATCTACCATTTCCTCACCTCTACTACGTCAGCTAAAGTATACATTCTCAATTTTTGCTGGAGAACGATGATCCTCAGAGAAGGAGTATACCCTAGGTCTTAAATGAAAGTCCATACAACTTTAAGATAAATGTGTATAGAAGAAGATGGAGAATCTAGATAGGACCACCATATAAGTTGTCATT